GAAAGCAGTCTTTTTAATTAAACAAGGCTCACAGCAACTTGAAAATAATGAAAATCCACCTGGCCACATTGTTCTTATCAGATTTTAATTTTTACACCATATTTAAAGTTCAGAAATCTTGCTCTGTGCACATAATCAAAGAGACGGTTTCATCTGAGAAGATACGATAAGCCTGTGAGATGCATATGGCCGTACCAGGTTCCTGCTGCTGTTTCTGGGACTTTTCTGGCTGGTGTGAGATTTTCCATACTCTCCAAGGTTGCTGGCAGTGGGGTGAGTGGGTGGGTGAGATACCCCAAGGTGCAAGCCTGCCACTGCCAGGGCCTCCAGAGGCCTCACTGCCCCCCAGGGCCATGGTGGGCCCCAGTATTCTCTTTTTCTTCTCCTTTCCCTGATGTGCACTCCTCGCTGTAGCAACAGGCATTGTTTTTGAGTCAGAGGAGGGTTAACATACTCAGACAAATAGCAGATCATTGCTCATGTAATACGAAGTGAAACAAAAGGAAGGCTTTTCTTCTGGCACTGTGCACTGCTTGCTGCGATGGCTGCCCTTTTTCCCCTTCTTTTGTCTCACAAAGTAAGACAAGGTGTGAGTCCAACCTAAACAGTCAAGATTTTTGGCTACTGTTGAAGTCCAGCATGGGGTCATATGCATCTACAGCCATTATAGATAATACAGGTAATACAGCTCATGGGCCAAAGACTGTAACTTACATTTTATAGTAGTAGTGAATCCCTCAGTGTTTTTAAAACAAAAATTCAGTAAATAGTTCCCAGTTTGAAGTGTTCCTCTGCGGTTCGGCAAGGACACAGCTGCACTGAATTTAATGGTGAATAGACTGTATTTAATGAAGGGTGACTTCAGTCATTTTCCCATAGTATTTGACACACAACTGAAATGCTCTCTGCTCTCTTGGTAAATACTGGCCTTCAGTTTTGACATATCCCAGACTCCCCATAAGTAGAATCAGCAATGAAGTGTGGTCTCAAATTTCATGCAGAAAAGGATCGTCTTAAAATTTTGAAGATCAAGTTAGAAAAAAAGAATTAAAGGGCACATCCAACTAATCAATAAGAACTCTTTTCTTTACTAACCAAGCTTCAGGACAGAGTTTTTCTTTTGGTGGCCCAGACAAGTCACTTACTGCAGATAATAGCATAATGCTAACAATAGAAGGTGGCAAAATTAAAATGTCAGTGCAGTAAATTTGAAATGACTGGCAAGTAAACTTCTCCATTCTAGGCAGTGCTATGTATAGTATCTGCTTGGTCTTTTTAATGTAGATGAATGCAAGCAGAGACTTACTAACCTTCAGTTAGTGGTCATACATAATATGCAATCTTAACTTCTAAAGCCAGAGTGAGATTAGAAATTGAGTCAATACTAATCTTTTTAAAAACAAATACATGAAAATAAAAAAATAAAATAAAAATCAGAAACATTTATTATGAGAAAAAATATGATTTCTGTTCCTCAAGTTAGTACCCCCTGGTAAGAAGACAAGACCAGGTTATTTATGATTTCTTCTTTTTTTTTTTAATTTCTTTTATTTTTTTGACTTTTTTTTTTTTGTTTGTGCAATTCAGTTACTTTTCCCTCTTCTCTGGTCCTTTTGTTTTCTGATTTCCATCATCCCTTCATGTGGGCAGTGAAGGTTCAAAGAAGCAATAGGCAACATACCTGGGATTCGCGTGCCAACAGCCACAGCAGCCTCCTCACCTACCACCATTATAACACCTACCACCCTGACCATTGCAGGATGCCAGCCTTGAAATTCCAGAAGACGCCTCCTCAAAAAAGCCTTCGTAATGTTCCACGCTTTGTCCTGCTGACATATTCTCTTCTTCTTCCTCTTCCTCCTCTCTCCCCTCTTCTTTCACTCATACTTTTCCCATTTCAGGCACTAAAACCTTTTTCAGTTTTATGGATGCTACACTTTTTCATAGCCATGCCAAGGTTATTTCTGACATTTTATACCTTTTCATTTCTTTAACAAGGCAACCTTTGTAAACAAGAAAAAGCTTGAAAATTCTGAATGAGTCATCTCTTCTGCTCTATGACTAGACCGTTAGATTTGACTAGTGTATACAAAGCATGACTTTTGAATGCAAAGCATTGCTTACAAATCTTTTGTCAGAAATTACCTACTACAAAAAGGCATTTCTAAATCAGTGTATCTAGACATACTGATCTGCATTAGTTCATAGATATGTGTTCAAAAAATTAATCTAGTCTAACATGCTTCGCCTAAAATAAATTGTAAACCATGAATGTACTTTTTGTATCTACAGTATCTTTGTTAGCTTCCAGCAGGTATTTTCATGAAATGCTGGCTATACTTTTACCTAGGATCACCTATGTGGTTTAATGTCTTTGTTATTAGAAATGCACAAACCATTCCTGTGCATCATACACATTGTTTTATTCATTGATGAGTTACAGGCATGTGCCGCACTCTTCCGTGAAGACGGAGTGCTGTGTGCCAAGTGTTTGATTTCTTACAGCAGCTTTGGTGTCTTCATCCTTCTCTCCTACCTCCATGAGTGCATACAGCCTGAGTTCCCTCAACATGGGGACCTTACCTCGCAGCCTCTACTCCACCAGCCCGCGTGGGACAATGATGAGGCGGAGGATGAAAAAGAAGGACTTCAAAAGCTCCTGTAGGTGGTAATAGCATTTCCTCAAAATGTGTAGTGAGTGGGTGGAGGAGGGGGAAGATACAGAAAAAAGGTACAAAGTATCTTAATTTATGTATATGCTAGGCAGAAGAGAGAACAATTGGAGTCTCTGTGGAAACATCAGCATAAGAATGTTTGTCCAACACTAAAATGAGATGAGTAGAAACCATACAGCTTAACTATCTCATCTGAAATATTTAAAGCAATGTTTTCTTCAGACAATCCTGCAAGGGTTTGTCATACCATAACTGAAGTGATTTTCAAGTTCCTTTTTCAGCTCTTCCCATTTTCATCAGGGAATAAAATTCATAGCTGAATAGTCATAAACAGATTGCTGGTAAGCTCAGCTATCACATTACAGAAGGAGAAGAGCGTGACACAGTACCTCCTAGATAGTTGAAATGTTTACCTCACCACGAGCTGTACAATTATTTTTATGAGGAAGAGTGTCAAATAACAGTGAAGACTAAATAGCCTTGTTTCTGGCTACTCTCCAGGACTCAAAGCATGAATTGCACTTGAGTCAGTAACTTCCCAAGCCAGGGTTGATCTATTTCAGTCTGTTCCACTTTGCATATTACGAAGTATTCACTGGGCTGGAGAGCTCTATCAGCGCGTTGTTTCCCAACCTCTGTGTAAGTGCCATCTCTCCTTTTGGCTTCCTGTGGTCCAGAGCAGGGAAGTGAGGACTGCTCTGTAAATCATCTGCTCTGGCTAGTAATGCTTACAGGTTCACTCCCAAAAAACTGAGCTGCTGTGTATTACAGCACTGCTGTCTCGTATTAAAGGTTTCCCATGGTCATAGCAAAATCAGAGCAAACCAGCAACCTCCAACCAAGGTCAGTCACTGTGGAGCTGAGAGGAGATGTTTGAGAGAGGAACTGAGGTTTTGCTTTCTTGCAGAGTTTTTTGTTGCTTGCTTGTTCCTATTTCTTTTGTAAAGCAAATATTTTTACATAACATTTGCCTGTTAGCACATTTTTTATTTTTAATCTGATCAGCCATTTTTCACAACTCATATATTGACATGTTAGCTTCTAATGCTTTCTTTTGGATCATGAGAAGGTAGTGTGTCCATCCGTGCTATGGTATCAGTAGGGGTCCAGCTCTTATGTGTCCTTACATGCACATGAGAAATAGTAGTGATTTTATAGTAATTGATTTGAATAGTAAAATAATCCTGGATGCAAAAAATAGTTCTTAGATTGTGCTATATTATAGCTTTTCCATCCAACAAAGGACTGTAAATCCTGAAAACTAATCCTATTATGGATCTTGGAGACAGCAGTTACTTGTGTTACTATATTTTTCATATATTTTTTCCTTCAAAGAAGTCTTGCCCTGCAGTTTGCTATACTGCAAAGGCTCAGAACAAGGCCAGAGACATAAGGTTGAAATGGGACAGTCACGCAAACACTGTAGCCCACCTGAAAGATTCCTGAAGTGAGAAGGCCTTGGGGATGACAGGCTGCTGTAATTAAACACATCTCTAGGCTAGGATGAGGCTTTGTTGTGGTGTAGTTTAATATGCATTTGTATTGTGAGGTCTGGATATAGAGCATTACAAAATATGCGGAACTGGCCCCATCACCAAGTGAGTCTGTGCCTCAGTACAAGCAGTGACTGCATCAGCAGCCCTGAACCAGAGCTTGCTTTGGAGGAACTGCCTGGCCAGCCAGGCTTGCTTTGCCCTTTCTCTGAGCTTGCTTGCCCTTTCTCTGAGCTTGCTTTTCAGCCCATGCAGAGCTCTTTACTCCTGCTGCTACACTTACACCCATACTTGTGACTGGAGTAAAGTTCATGATGGTGATGAAGTGTGATGGTACAGGAGGTTAACAAGACCTTTATGGCTATGACTTTACAATCATTGCGTCAGCTACACCGATCTTTCCAAACATGTGACTATAAAAATTGAAGGCATGCCCTGCCGTCATGTGCTCTAGTTATGCCTCTTGTTTTCCATTTTTAGTCTTCCTCTGCTTTTTTGGTTTTAAAGTATGGCATTCATTGTGGAAACACTTGGGTTATTATTTGGCTAAAGTTTAAATCCTGAAATATTTTGTAATAGATCCATATTAGTACTTGAAAATGAGACACAATTTTATACCAACTTACATGATAGTTACTAGGGCTGCGTATCTGGTAGAGATGTGTGTGAGTGCTGTTTTCTCAGCACATCCAAATTAGCTGCTCTCAGGAGGAACAGTGAACATTTTGCAGTTTCTCAAGGGTCAGAGCAGGAGACTGCAGGCACAGTAATCCATGTATGTACCTTTAAATACATTGCTCTGCTTCTCATATAGGAATAAAAGTAACAAGTACATAATCTTCAAGTTCAAGGTTACTATTTACATCGCTGCAGAGCATATAGTAAACCAGCCCCCAGAACTGTTGCTAAGAGTCGGACACAAAATACACAAGCATGCTAAAACGAACCCCCAGCAGTAGCAATGAGGATTCACTGAAGCCACGTACATATCCGTGGCCCTTTCTTAAATCAACAAGGCTGCTTCCTGGCCTTTAAAACTTAGAATCCATCAAGCAGCCAAGAAAAAAATGGCAGTCTTTCTTGCTGCAGTTATTTTTGGGTTACAGACCCCAGCATGCTCCAAGTCATGGGTTTGGGTACCTGTGTGTTTTATAGAGGCTTAGCAGATAGCTGGTGTTACATGACTTGGAAAGGGGATTTTCACCTCTGCTTTTTTTTATTCCTGTTTCTGTTTGATTTTCTTTGGGAGTGGGAGGTGTTCCTAATTATCACTTCTAAGTATCCATATCATCAAAATATTTATCAGGGTGAGTTTCAAATCCCACAAATATTAGCCTTATTTCCCAATGTGAATTAAAACCTTAGCGCTCCTAAAAGTTGAAATAAATGTAAGACCTTTAGGTTCCTGGGAACAAAGGGAAACGAAGATGCAGCTAACAAATAATTGTTGTATGACCTTGAGGAAAGGGAAAGTGAGACTCTTCTGAGCTTTGGATGCACTAAATGTCGATATTTCTGGGAGATGTGTTAGGGGATCCAGTACTATATTAACTCTGAATTTGTCGGGTTTGGTCATATTTTAGCACTTTACAGTGCCAAGGGCTGGAGAAACCCATTTCTCACGTGCAGTAAATGCTAAAGCTGGTGGCTGTTTCTAAGAACAGATTATTAGTATTTGCATTTGGGTATAAGCATGTCTTTCTCAGTGCAGATAAAAGAAACAGTAAGAAGGAAGCTCTTGAGTAAGTGAAATAACACACAGTTGTCACAAAGGAAAACGGAAATATTATGTGAGTGACAATTCACAGTAATTTAGAAAAGAGTTTCAGAGTTGAAAGGAGCATTGCTGAGAGAAAAGAGAAACTCATGAGGTTTTTTGCAAGTCAAACTTTTTCAACAGAATTGCCATTGCTGACTACACCACATTAGTCAGATTTTATACTGTTTCAGAGCCAAAGTCTAATGCCTGTAGCCCCAAGGTGCAGGAAATAATTACACAGCCACTGACAACTTCGTACAGTTGTGCCAATATTATCTGTAATGTAAAAACAAGAACTGACTTTTTATCCCTCAGATATAAACCATGAACTAAACTATCCCTCAGATAAGCCTCGAACTTTTATCTAATTCTCAGTAGCTACTGCAGGCAAAAATAGGTCTTGAAGGAAATTAGGGGTGGGGAGCGTAGATTTATAAGACAAAAACATTCAGAATCCTCATTATTGAGGGATTATCATTACAATAGCATACCTTTACCTTACTGGTCTGAACAGGAATTGAAAAATCTCTAGCTTTCTGGGTATGATATAGTCTGTCACCGGGGGAATTTGGTGAATGATACACCAGACATTTAGGCAGAGATCAAAGAACCAAAGGTGCAGTCTCCTCCTTTCACAGGTAACTGCACTGAATATCAATGTTGTCGTAATCTTGATTTGTTCTGTAGTGCAGTCTATTCAGAACAAAAGAGAATAACAAGAGGATTAAATCAGGAGTACAGAAGTAGCTGCTTGTGTTTCTTACAGAAGAGTTCTCCAGTTGCTTTGAGAGATGCCAAAGAACTTTTTTTCTCACCATCTCCTTAGATGTAGTGGTTGCTGTAACAGAAGGGTTTGTTCCACAAACTGTTGATGTGCAGTAAACACGTACAGGAGGAGGGCATCCTTATTTCTTGCGAGCAAGCCTAGGCTGTGTGCTTTGTTGGTGACAACACTGCATCGCCATGAGATGTTCAAAAGAGCCCATGGGAATTGGCCTGAATAACAACTGGGCTTGTGCCTCCAGTTCTCTTAGGTCCCATGAAAATCCTGCTCATCCACACCTCAAACCTACTGCAAACAGAATTCAAGGATGTTCTGAGATTTTTCGGGTGGGGGCGTCAGGCACATGTATTTTACTTAGTACAAGAACTATCTTTTTGCATTCTAACATACAACCAGATATTTTCTGTTTTCTTATATGTCCTAACCTTTTATGCATCGTTTATAAACTTTAGCCTAAATTGACTTTAAAAGACATGTTTTGTTGACTATGTTTATTGTACAGATCAATTTTCTCAAAGAGCGATGAAATTTCTGCTGTGTGTGAATGTCTCTCCTCCTGCTCTGCTCTGTTTTGTAGTGTCTTTAGCCTCTAGCACTGTTGCTTTGGCTGGGCAGGTCGTCCACACGGAAACCACAGAAGTGGTGCTGACAGCTGACCCCATAGTAGGGTTTGGGATACAGCTCCAGGGTAGCGTGTTTGCTACCGAGACCTTGTCTTCTCCACCTCTCATTTCCTATATTGAGCCTGACAGCCCGGCAGAAAGGTGAGGTGCTTTCAGTTGACTGCTAAGTGCGTTTTGGTGAGCGTTCCTCAGGGTGCTTTGGGCTTGTTGCTTTTGGTTTGTGAGAAATTGCAGGGCCTCGCTCAATTGAAGTGTGGCAAGTAATAAACTGTCTGTTCTGACAATGATGTTTCATGTGCTTGATGGGCTATAAGAAGAATGACAAGCACGAGTGTTTCTATCATCCGGAGTCCCCCAGCAGGATACTGGAAGCTATATTCATGCAAAAATAAAAAAAATCAGAAACATCAGTGAAGTCAAAACAATAATAATTCAGTGTGCTGTGGAGGGAGGCCGTATCCAGCTCTGTTCAGTTTTGGTACAGAACCAAATCACAGAATCACAGAATGTTAGGAGTTGGAAAGGACCTCGAAAGATCATCCAGTCCAACCCCCCTGCCAGAGCAGGATCACCTAGAGTAGGGTGAGAGAGTACCAAAGTTTTGACTTACTAATGATTTCATTGCAGTGTTTCAGTTTACATTTTTATGCTTATATATATTTTTAATCATGACACAAGAGCAATAGTAGTTGCACAGGCAAATACTAGCTGCCGTTGCAGTGCCACACCGCCTGCAGCCCAGGGACAGAGGTGATGTCCATGGGTGGGATAGGGGCATGAAACTGTGCCCCTCTTCTTGGATCCTGGCATCTGGAGAACATGGCGCATGCTGGGGGTGCTTGATAGTCCCTTGGTGCATGGGTAGACTGTTGAGCTGCTGTGCCGCTCTTCTTCAAGGTTAGGTTGAATGTGTTTGATATTGCTGGTTCTGGTAACGTGCACGTCTGATGATTGTTTTGTTTCATTGTGTACCAAGGTGTGGGGTGCTACAAATAGGAGACAGAATAGTGGCAATAAACGGCATCCCAACAGAAGACAGCACATTTGATGAGGCCAATCAACTGCTCAGAGACTCCTCTATCACCAACAAGGTCACTTTGGAAATAGAATTTAATGTTGCAGGTACGAATGTACTGTTATTCTGTCTTGTGAGAAGAGTGAAGGAATAAATCCCAAGTCCATTGCCACTGTTAGGCATCCAAGGTGGAGACTTTCTTCTCATATATACACCATTCAGTCTTCAAGTGACCTATTTTGAAGCGTGTGTCTTTTTGTACAGCTTTCTCATTTCACATAGCCCTGCAGCACACTTCAGGAAGCAAATAGAAACGACAAGTCCTGTCATAAGATCTGGTGACAGTCCCTCCTCTGAGTTATTTTCCAACGTTTTTCTGCCCTGAGATAGGAATACTCTGCTAAGCCAAGACAAATCCTCTACAGACCAGCTAATGAAATGTTTTACTAGACAGAAAGGTGTTATAAATGGGTGGATAAGCAGAAAACTCCAAAGAGTTTAACTTACAGTATCTCAAACCAACAATTTAAATAAAATAATAGAAATTTAATTGATACAATCCAGAAAAAAATTTGTTAATATTGCTGGTGAGTCTTTATTATTACTTGTGACTCCTCCTTTCTTCTGTAATGTGTTTAAGCATACGGAGTACACCTATAAAATCACAAATTGTGTAAATCAAACAAGTATACGCTATATATGTGCACTACTCCACTATGTAAATAGTAAAGACTTTTAAGACCTCTGTGTTTATCTGACAGTAGCTCCTCTGAAGTCATGACAATGTCAGATGTGCTGTATTTTGCATAGTGTGATTATGTTAATGATATTATAAATCACGGTGTCAAAAGCAGGCTAAAGGTTCCTAGAGTAATTCTGTATTATATTTTAGTATGCCTGCATTTAGTATAATGTTAAAATAAAACCCAAATACAATATCTCCATTCATATACATGGGAAATGAAATACTAAAAAATAAGAAAACCAAATAATGAGAAAGTAATTTAAATACAGCTGAAGCCACGTGTTTCCGTTCCTGGACTTGTTTGTGCTCCTCCCATTTGCTCCATGACAACAGACTGTACTCATGCTTAGATGACTCATGTATGTTTATATGTTTCCGTGTCTGTCATTTCAGTCGCTTCTTTTCTGGCCAAGGGCCAGTCTTTTGCTAGCAGTGATGCCAAAAGTCAGGATTCATATACAGGGCTGTGTGTTCAAGTGGTTTTTACCTCAGTCAGCTCCAGGCATTTCTCCATTAGTGATGTTTTGATTCCTTTTCTTCCCAGTAGATGTAAAATCCATGGCAGTTACCTTAGCGGACAGTTCAAAATGTGTCTGACCTACAGCAACAAAGGCCTGAAATCCTTAAGACTTGATCTCCTGTCCTTTCAATTACAAGTTATCTGCCAGCACTGAAATTTTCAGGTGTGCTCACAGAACTTGCATATGAGCTAAAAACCTGCAGTCTCAGCTGGCTGCTGGCCTGTGCAATCTCCAGAAATTCAGTTAAACCTTAAAAAATACTGAGTTACCATGAAATTACCAGCAGAGGTATAAATCATACTTTGTATGTCCTACTTCCTTCCCTTCAGCATCTGTGTTTTATCCGTGGCTTGTGATGCTGCTGTGATTTAATCACCTTACACATAAAATTCCATGCACTTGGAATTGCTTTGCCTTATAAATTATCTAATATTTTAAATATTTTTTTGTAGAATCAGTTATACCAAGCAGTGGAACATTTCACGTAAAACTACCAAAGAAGCATAATGTGGAACTTGGCATCACCATAAGTTGTAAGTGGAAGTTCTTCTTTTTAAGACCACGTTTATGGGATAATCTGCAGATCGTAGGTCCTGTAGCTATAGACTCACATTTCGGTATAAACTTCTTTTTCCTTTTTCTGGAAAGGGATGATTAGCAGTGCTCTGTCTGTGGTGAAATAGCATTCTGAAACAACTTTATACTCCTAACATTTAGAGAAGCCAAAAGTTTGGCAGGCCTAAAGCTTGACGTATTCCTTCATGCAGAGCACATACTTAACTCCTATTAAAGTTACTTGAAAAAAGAAGTCGGTAGAATTGAGCCCTTGCAAAAGTATTTCCATAGCTGCGAAGTTTTAAGCAAAGTCTGTCATGGTTTCTCACAGGCCCTTGAACAGCCCCAGAGTCTGAAGATACATCCTCAATCTGTAAATCTAGTGGGCAGCGCTAAATGTGCAGGTCACGTAGCAAAATCCCCTTTCATGAGGGATTTCAGAGATTGCTAAAGAAGATAACAAGGGTGTGCATTAGTCTGTTTCTCCAAAAGTATTTGTTACTGTTGTTTGAAATTAAAATGCTTACTTGTTTTGGGAGCAGACAGTAAACTCTGTGTTAGGACTGGATTTTGACCAGGTAAACTCCAGCATCCCAAGTTCAGGCCTTGGTGGAAGGAAGAGCAATCGATAAGTCAAAACATTACGTTTAATGTACTTAATGTCAATGCAGAATCTGGTCTCACTGGAATTAACATTCCTGTACAGTCGTGGCCTTTCTTAGAGTATGAGTCTTTCTTTGGAGTTATTCATGTGTCTTGGTAGAAGATTGTGCTTTGACTTAACATTCTTAAAGCTTTTACCAGCACAATGAAATAAGATTAATCAAAAGTACGGCAGGGAGCTCAGTGCTAGGACTTACATCTGAGGAGCAAATGAGAGGCACTGCAGGCCTGTTTGCTGGCATTGCACACTTGAGTGAGTAACTTAGACTCTGTAAGACGTGATGTCATTCTTGAAGCAAAATCCTAAGTCTGCGTGTATTTGTGCAAATGAAAATATTGAGAAATGAGGAAACCTGGAGACAGGCTGTTGTATTTGAATGTTACTCTTAGGATTGTTAGTGTTTTGTAGGATTATTGTAAAAATATGGTCTTCCTAGTAATTTGATTTGTGCTGCTTTTTGTACTTTTTTTTTCCATCTGTAGGAGTAAAGTTTGAATGGAAAGCTAATGTTCTTGGGATTTAGTATCTAGCACTCCCCTTCCAAACTTTGCATAGCTTCCTGGCTTGGAACTTAATTCCGAAAGTTAGTGCTTTATAACATTAGTGCTCTATGTAATCAGCATGACACATGGTTGCTCCTGGCTCTGCTCTTCTGAGTATACTGCAGTATCTTTAATACTAAAATTAAATGACCTGTTATATATAATAATCCCACTTATTAATAGCATTTAATGCATATGAAATGTGTCTAGGATTAATTCTTTATTTGATTTTAAAGAATTTATACTAATAACTGGAAGATTGTAAATTTGCTTGGTGGAAGTCTTGCATTGCTGTTTCTCATGCTTGCTTTTTAGTGCTTTGCTCTGTTCTGCCTAAGTAACTCCTAAATGCGGCAGTGTGATTTGAAGAATATAAGCATTTTATATGCATTTTGTCAAATTTTTGTCAGGGCACTTTAGCACATTAGCATGCCATTTATTACTGATATTGTCAGAAAGCTATATGACTTCTTTTAGAAAACAAATACTGAAGGAAACTCAGTGGAGAAGGTACGACCAGGATTGAACAGGGCTGATAGAGGAGATCAGGTTTATTCACTTTGAGGCTTGATCTGTTTAAATGTTGGAGGCCTGTTTCATCCTCTCTATTCTCAAGGTAGTGGCGTTAATGGTGAGTAGTGCTGTCTCTATAAAAACATTACAGAGAGACGCCTGTCTTGCTTTCTGTATCCCCAGTTTAGTTTGGGATTTGGATGAGAAGGTCAGGAAATGACCTGACCTGACAGACAAAACGACACTTTTTGTCAGAAGTGAAATACAAGCCTTACCTCACATGAACATACGCCTGTTTTTAAGTCCAACAGTTGTTCTAAGTGAGCTGTTGAGAGGCAGACATCCAGGAAAGGAGTTTATTTCTCTTTCTTTGTGTTGTTTTCCTTGGTAATAAACTCCAAGTGTGCCGGCATGGAGTTACAGCCGGGTACTTGAAGGTGTATCTGAGGTGACACACAATACTGAAGACTGTTAAGCTAATTCATGATCTTGAAAAACATGCCATGTAACAGGGGAAGAGATGAGCTTCTCTTAGTTTCAGATCTATTAATGCAAGGAAAAGAACAAAACAAAAATACTCAAAATCCACTTAGCAGAAACCCCTAGAAAGTAAGACAGAAGAAAGTTTCACGTGCATCATTGCTAATGTTAATGCAGGGTACTGAGTTTTGGGTAGTGCATGTCTGTTACCTCACAGGATACTGGCCCTGCCCTCACACACATGCTGGACTTCTGTCATCCTTCCTTTATCTCTGCAGTATCTGTCTAATCTTCCTATTAATAGCTACTTACACTCAATAAAGAGCTTAATTCATAGTTTGCAAATATCAGTGACTATATATTTTGTGCTTCTGGTGCCATCATTTTCAGACCCAGTTACCTGGTTGGAGTAATTGGAATGTCTCGGTTCTTAAAATTGCATAATCCAAATAATGAAGACACAGCAGTGCCCATGTGTATGTGATTGTGCTTTTGTAACAGCACCATTCCCTAGAAGAAGGATGGCTTTCAAGTAGACCTAGTAGTGTTCAAATCTGTTTCAATTGATTTGCCAGTGACATTGATTTTAGACCATGTAGTGAAATATGGATTTTTTGAAGATATTTTTTGTGCCACTGGCTACTTTGTGAGACTAATATTTTTTAAATACATTGAATGATGTCTGAGAAAATTACTTACTAGTACAGTCTAGTAATTGCAGTTAACAGCTCTTCCCGCCCCCCCCCGCCCCCCTTGCTTTCTTTCCTATTCTGATATCCTTACTGGTAACAAACTGCAGCACCTTGCTTCATAAATAATCTCTCTGAAGCTAATGGGACTACTTAAGCAGTAAGAAGCTGCAAAGCTGGTAAGAATATCAGAATCTCACCCAAACTATTGTCAGTTTTCTGAGTCTTTTGTATTTCATCAGAAAAAAGCTTCGTAAATGCAGATATTTAGCACTGACTATGATAATTTACTTTCTAAAGCGTGTTTCTCTGTGCTTTGGGATTTCACCTAGAAAACTCAACTTCATTGTGCAATGTTAGAAGTAATTATTTTCAAGACAGGGCCTGAAGAATCAGCAGGTTTCTCAGCTGCTCCACATGGACTAATACTTAAGGAACAAAACAACCACATCAGTCTAATTTTAAAAGGCTTTCATCTATTTAATAATCACACTATTTTTATAAAGTCTAGCAGCCAGCATTGTGGATAAGTAAACTGACTGTATATAGAAATTATTTTTCCATCCCAGGAGCATTTTCCTCTGCTTTTGTTCAGTTTGTTCAGACTTTGGTCAAACTCCAAAATTTGAAGCCAGGCTGAGACTAGTAGGTGTGTTTTGGCTGGGTGGTAGTTGAGATGTACACCTCAGATCTGTTCGATCTGTCACATTGGTTTTTTCTCTGTGTTAGCAGTGAAATAAGAAAGGAGGGTTGTTTGGGGTTTTTTTGACCTAATAGGACAGCTGATCTACAAAATCCATCCTGTGAAAACCATCAACACATCACTGAACTCAATTTTGAGTGGTGGAGGCAGGCAGAGGAAGTGTGTCTTTCCTAGTAGAAGTGGGATAGAGGCCTGGGACTGAGACCTAAGATTTTAAGAGTCATTTAGAGTGAAACTGCTGAAGATCAGCCTTCCAGCTGTGACACTAAATGTAGCGTCTGTACGACTTTATGCACTCTTCACCACTTGCAGTTCATCACACGGACTGCGTAAGATCTCCACAAGAGGGCGGCAGTGGGTGGATTAACAGCTGGACCAGGGAGGAGTAAAGATGAGGTCTTTGGTGGACAAGGAGAGAATATGGCAGACAGTAAATGAGGAGAGAGAGTGAGGTGTGATCAGGTGTAGAGAAGGCTGGACGCAGGTGAATGGTAAAGTGAGAAGAAAGAAGCAAGTGTGACAAGGAAAGTACCATGACATGGTACTGACATGGATTTGGGGGCAGAGACTGACTGTACTAGGGACTGAGGCCCACTCCCTTCCCAAAAACTAAATCTCAAAGAATTTTACAGCAATTCTAGTAGCAGTAAATGCTGGAGAAGTCTCTCTTACCTCCCTCCCTGACTCCATGCCATGCGATTCTGTCACCTGGATCTGCAGCGAGTCTCAAGTGTTTAAGTGTGTTTGTGCTCTGATTGCTGTTTGACAGAGATTGTTTTGTATTGCTTCCTAAAACCAAGAATAATTCTGAAATGAAACATAAAAATGGAGACTTAAAGCTGTACAGTGCCACTTTGAACTTGTATTAATTCATGAGGATATCTTTTTTAATGAAGTGGTCAAATTCTGCTTTCTCACTGGGACTCTTGCTTCTCGGTCTCTGGGGAGAGATGAAATAGTGGTGTGTATCGAAGGGGATGGAGGCTGCATAATGAATGAGGTGGAGGATTGCAAGAAAGGAAAAGGAGGTGATCTCATGGTCAAGATGGTTTAATGCTACCCTGGAGAAATTAAGGGTTTTTTGCTTTTCTCTGCAATGGAGTTGTGCTGAGATGTGTCATTTCACAGGGTGAGGGTGGAGAAGGAAAGAGAGAGATCTTTTCCACGAGTGGCTGCTTGATTTTTTGGGGAAACTATTGAGATCCTGGGGTCACGCTTGCAGAAATGTTGCCGAAAATGCTGGTAGTTGTGCTTTGGGCATAGAAGTAGTTACATACTACAAAGTATTGTCAGAAATAATGGCGTGGATATCTCAAATTACTCACTGAAAATTGTCATACTTTGACCTAAATGCTCTAGTGTTTCTTTTCCCCATCTGTAAAATTAGGATAATAGTACTCAATCTTCTTGCTGGGGACAGCATCTGTTTGCTAGTTTTTGGGAGGCAATCTTAGGCTGTGGTGATGTGCAGCACAAAAGTTCGGGAGGAAATTAATGATTTTATCTCTGCAACACAAGTAGTTTGTAGTAAGTATTGTCGTGAGCATCGAACAAAGATAAAACAAAGTGTGGCATAGCTGCTTATTAAGGGCTTGTCATCATGGGGGTATTCATTTCACACTGAGCCGTGTTTGCTGCCTACAAAAAAGCTTTCATCCACCAGACACAATTAATACCCAGGATAGCTGACAAAACACCTCTGGCTCACACTTAGTTTGAAACTGTAATGACTTTGTATGCACTACCATAACCTCTTCATCCACCTGTACTCTGTGGCTTCACACTTTGAGCTGTGCGCTTCCCCCCATTTTGATTCCTTCTCTCTTCTTTTTGAAACAATAATGGACTTCTTTACTTTAGTGCTGTTCATTTTTATAAAGCAGTTTCATAAAAACTATCTTAATACTCAAATCTCAAGCTGCAGACGTGGTACAGTAGGTGGCATATAACCTCAGAGATTTATAAAGCAACCCAGAAGGTAAAAAATACAATTACAAAAACAAGTTCACCAAAGTGATGCTTTAAAATTTGAACAAGATACTAATTGGTGAAACAAGTCCAAAGAATTCAAGTAAATCATGGAGCTGTCATATAGCTGACCCATGGTGTGAAATTATGAGAAACAAGCTATGAAAATTACACGTCTTGCAAAAACTTAATTGCTGTTCTCTAAACTGCAACATAGGCACTTCCTGAAAGTGCACTGGTTTAGACAGGTTTCTAAATATTCTTGAAAGTGCTTGTATGCCTGTCTTCTGGACCTGCAAGTCACTGCATTTGAAATACGGCTATTTAGCTGTTCTTAAACGGTTCATTTGGACATTCAAAGGCTTTTTTTGCCAGGCCAGCCAAGGTTAACAAGATCTGTTAGAATATTGTGTTGGAAATGTCATTATTAATGCACCCTGTGGTTGCTGTAGGTAAAGATTGGTCATTTCCCATCAAAGTGAAGAATAATGAAGTGCTAGAAGTAACTGACATCAGGATTTTATAGGTGATCCTCCAGTGTGGGGAGCTTTTTGGGTGATTGTCAGGCATTGGAGCCTAATCATTGGAGCATCTTCTGTGAATGAAGTACACAGAGCAGAAATGGCTTGGGGCAACTGAAGAGCCCTACATGTGCAAAAACCATTGGTGCTTTCAGGAGAACCAAGAGCCTTGTACCATGTAGCAATGGTTTAATGCCGGCTGTAGGTGCTGTGCTTCCCCGTGGCACAGAGCAGGTACCACACTGTTGTCACCCTCAAGTGCTGATACCAGATCTTTAGTGCAGTCTTCTGTCAGCAAAGGGATGAAGCTGCTCCAAGAAATGGTCCTCTGGCAGCAGTCAGTAATTGTTTTCTTCCCCGGGGAAGTTAACTGCTTCCAGTGCAACCAGAAGTTGCGGAGCAGCATGGTGAATGGCTTGCAGAACTGGCCAAGGGAAACTTGGCAAGCATTTTTTGCACAAGTCAATAAAGAAAAGCAAGGACTGGCATTGTAGAGCAGAGCATCTTTTTCACCTTGATGGACAGGTAGCAGAACAAAACTACATCAGATATGTCCCAGAAGAGATGAGTTAAGTGTACAAGGAGAGAAGTGGTGGGGGTTTTACTAATTTGGCCATTGCTGGAATTGGTGGGGTTCTAGTAGGTATCCCCAGTACAAAGTAGGGAAAAGTCCACCGTGCTTCAGGCCCAGTAGCAGTGCAGAGGAGCAAGGTTACTCATCAGAAGGGGCACATATATCAGTGACACTGAAGCAAGCATTCATCTGATGTAAGCTACATCTGTGTGGATGTGATAATTGAGTATCAGCCCAGTGGCATACATGGCAATTTTCCACAGTATCTCATTTACTGTGAAGCAGATACCTGCTTTCTCACCCAGGCAGTGCTATCTTCATACCTCTGCCTTCAGCACTGAATGAGACAGGAGTGGATATGCAGAATGTGGTCTAGCCCACTGTGGAATTTTTGCCAGAGCGGCTCTGTTGATCAGGAATTTAATAAAACCTGATTTATGATTGACAGAAATATTCTGGCAAAAGATCAGCATTAGTAGTTGTGCTGAAAGGTGCTGCTAACAGAAGCTCTTCCCTTATGTGTTGTAGCTGCACAGCATTTTATGATAGATCACTGGAGCTGTACCATGATATTGTCACAAGGTTCAGTCCTTCCCTAACCCACAGTTCAGACATACCAGTTAAATTCACTTTGCACCAGTCATCTTAGATCTGGCATTTTCTAATTTTTGAGAAGCTGAGTGTGTAGTCTCACTAATGTGTTGCTGCTGCTGTTTGTTTATATTCATGTACCTATAGTTTGGGGAAAGGGAAGAAATACAATACAGGTAAACAACGTGTATGAAATACTGGTTTGTGGACAGAATTTGCCCATCTGCACCTCCAGAAATAAAAAACCAGATATTTGTGTGTTTTCTTCATTACAGCTCCATCGAGTAGAAAACCAGGGGACCCTCTGGTTATTTCTGATATCAAGAAAGGAAGCGTTGCTCACAGGTAAGACGTTCAAGCTCCCAGTAAAAACCTGTTTCCATTGTGTAACAAGCCATGCTCAAGTTAAATGGAGGGAGCTTGTAAGAGACTTGTGCTTCTATTTTGTAAACAGCAGTTACAAATGAAGTGTTGAGAGTGCTAAGAAATTATTGTTTTAAGAAAATCCATCTGGTGTCTATAATAATGTTCATAACTTCTAAGATACCTTGCTTTAATGTTACTAAGATGTCATGTGAGCTTGTTTGCTTGTTCACAGAACTGGGACACTGGAGCTGGGTGATAAGTTGCTTGCAATAGATAACATTCGACTTGACAATTGCTCAATGGAAGATGCTGTCCAGATCCTTCAGCACTGTGAGGACCTTGTCAAGTTAAAGATCCGCAAAGATGAAGATAATTCCGGTATTGGCAATGAGCCTGTTACAGATTCTTGTGTGTTTTTAGAACAGAGCGTTATTCTTTTGCATTTAAATTTTAGTGAAATGTTTTCTGGAAGTGACTGATTTATGCTAATACTAATCAGACAATGTCTAAAAAGAATTTGAATGGTCTATAAGGTTTTGAATTTTCTCAGTGGCTATATTGCCTGCAGGAGCTGTGCTGCAAAATGAGGTCTGCAGTTTTCTGGAAAGGCAGTTTCCCCTCAGGTGCAGCCATATAAAGTTGATCTTTCTCTTATCAATGTATTGAGATCTTCTCTGCTTTTAAGATTGGAATCATGGTTAGCAAAGCATGGATCCGTAGGCCTCAGTTCTCCAGCAGCATGGTTAAGTGCATGCTTTATCCATAAACTTGCAAACTTGACTGTTCACTTGCTTAAAGGTAAGTGGTACTTTGCACGCTGTGCTGGGTGCCTGATGAAGGCACCTGTCTGATCAGCCCAGTGGAAGTAATGGAGCTGCCATCATTTTGCATACCTACATCTGTTAATATCTCTGGATCTTCCTCATTATGGATTCCGTAAGAGCAGGATTTCTACCTATACTTTTTTATTATCTCATAAAGCGACTTCTGTTGTGCTTTCCAGTGGCAGAGGAAGTTAAATTATAACTACCATTACTGCTGGGACTTACATTACAGCGCTACACAGAAGCATGAACTGTGGATTCACTTGTCTTGGGCTCTATACAATCTCACACCAAAAAGGCACAGCCTGCCGCACTTTTTTATTTAATATCAAGTGCAAATGCTGAAATGGTATTTAGAATTGCACTAGAATGCTCCTTTCCTTTAATTGTTTTTGAAAGCAAACAGAAAGTATCTTCTCAGTATGATCTGTACAAAGCAAAGCCAGATGCATTTAGCACCATGTGCAAACAGATAGGAAGAATGCCTGTAGAAGGAAGTTTGAGTTTTCCCCTGCACAAGAAAGGATTTATCTTTTAAGTGTTCATGGCACCTAGGATCCCTCCTTCACCTTCTTCCCCTCATTTGGAAGACTCTCTCTCGTTGTGAATTCAGGTGATATGCATGCCATGTTTTTGGATAGCTCGCATTTCTGCTTCCTGGAAAGGGCACTGAAGAGAACAGTGGAGCAACTTGATATTTGTTGTGTTCTGCCATTAATTTTCCTAACTAGAGCTAACCAGAAGACAGACATCAGGGACCAGTCTTCTTTTCAGTCATCCTGAAAGATCTATAAACTTCCAGCTGTCATGTGGCAGGGCTGCTGTATGATTGATAATTTCTTACTTACTCTTGATAGTGGAGGAGCATCAGTATTGTGTCGACCCTGAGCAAATACTGGCTGTTACGTTTTCAGTTAGCTTGGTGGATTACTTTTCATCCTTCAGTTGAAGGAAGTTGCTTCTGGAAAGAGCAGGTCAGATAAAGTGTAGTTGATGGGAGCTGTCCCAAAACGCTGATGACAATGTCCCAAGGAGGAATGCAAGGCCAGCACTAGGCATGAAAACCCCAGTATTCTTTGCTGAATAAACACCACTAATTCTCCTCTCCTTTGATTCTATATGCATGCCATTTTCTTTATGTGAATAGCAAGGGAGAAATAGGAGGGAGCTGGAATGAAGGGAAGGTAATGGCCTAAATTTTCTGCAAATTGGGAAGAAACAAAGTATCTGCAAAGATACTAGTGTTTCTCCAGCTCTGCTTAGGTACCATGTTCAGCACTGGAGGAAAGCAACTCTTTGAACCTTTGCTAGTGATGCAGGTATCTTTTTCCTTTTAAAGTTTTTCTGTCTACAGGAACAGAAATGGGAACATTTGAATTTTCTAACTTGTTCTAGTAACATTTACGGAACGTGCGGCCTAGACATTTTCCACGCTTGCTGAGCCGTTGGAAATGTCATTACCCACAGATCTAGGAAAAGTTGCCCACCAGGCCAGACGTCCTGGCTGAATACCAATATCATAAGATGGGATGGGAGCATTTGTTATTTTGAGACCTGACATGTTGAATTTTAAAATCTCCCTTCACAACTCAAAGATACTGCAGTTGATTGCTCTCCCGCTGGGATTTTTTTTATTTTTACTAGCAAGAAGAGCATGCACAGTATAAATACAGGAGCCTTTCTTGTTGCTGCAACTCTTGTTGGGTGTACTTTAAGGAAAGTGATGAGTTCTTCTCCATTTCTGATGACTGTTTGGTGAGACTAAAATTTCAAAATAATACAAATTACTTCATACAGTAAATGAAATTAAATCTAATGGAAGGGATTAATTATTCAATTTAGTTAATAATGCAGAAGCTGGTTTTGATTCTGTTACAAAACTTAAAACTTGCCCATCAAAAATATGGGATATATTTCAGATTCTCTTCGTAAGACAGCTGCTCATCTTACCGTGACTTTTGACTTTTCCCACAGTTCTTTTATGGAAGTTTGGGTTTAAAACTTTTGAATTATCTTTGATACTAAATTCAGTTCAAGAAACACATGAGCACCAGTATTTATACAATAGCAGTAACTTGTCTTTTCTATAATAATGTGCTCTTGTGGCAAAGGCAGCCAACAGGCTCCTGGGCTGCATCAGGCAGAGCACTGCCAGCACACTGAGAGAGATGATCCATCCCCTCTGCTCAGCACTGGTGAGAGACTTCTGGAGTGCTGCATCCAGTCCTGGGCTTCCCAGTGCAAGAGAGACATGGACATAGTAGATCAGGTCCAGGGAAGGGCCGCATAGATGATGAAAGGGACTGGAGCATCTCTCCTTTGAGAAAAGGCTTAGAGAGCTGGGACCACTCAGTCTAGAGAAGAGAAGGCTCAAGGGCGGATCTTATAAATGTATATAAATACAGTCCTGGCCAACCTGCTGTAGGTGGCCCTGCTTGGACAGAGGGGTTGGACCAGGTGACCACCAGAGGTCCCTTCCATCTTAAAGTAAAAATTAATCTTAATAGTGTCATGGTTTAACCCCAGCTGGCAAATAAGCACCAGATGACTGCTCTCTCACGTCCCCTCGTGGGATGGGGGAGAGCATCAGAAGAGTCAAAGTAAGAAAACTCATGGGTTGAGATAAAGACGGTTTAATAGATAAAGCAAAAGCCACACATGCAAGCAAATCAAAACAAGGAATTCGTTCACCACTTCCCACGGGCAGGCAGGCAGTCAGCCATCTCCAGGAAAGCAGGGCTACATCACGCGTAACAGTTACTTGGGAAGACAAACACCATAACTCTGAATGTTCCCCTTCTTCCTTCTTCTTCCCCAGCTTTACATGCTGAGCCTGACATCATATGGTTTGGGACATCCCTTTGGTCAGCTGGGGTCAGCTGTCCCAGCTGTGTCCCCTCACAGCTTCTTGTGCACCCCCAGCCTACTCGCTGATGGGGTGGTGTGAGAAGCAGAAAAGCCCTTGACTCTGAGCACTGCTCAGCAATAGCTAAAACATCTCTGTATAATCAACACTGTTTTCAGCACAAATCCAAAACATTGCCCCCATACTGGCTACTACGAAGAAAATCAACTCTATCCCAGCCAAAGCCAGCACAAATAGAATGAGGAGAGCTTTTCTATTTACTTCAATGTAATCAGGTTTTGGCAATAAAAAAGAAATTGCACAAAAGAGATTTTTTTTCTCAAAATAATCCAGTAGAATTTGATTAAGAAGTGTATCTGGAATGTAATCCTTTGAAATGTTGTGTGATTACCAGTTACTAGACTGATTGCGCTAGTAGTTTCATTCTCTCTTTCATAAGAAACCAATTGCATCCCCTTGGCATTTATTGCAGATGAACAGGAGAGCTCTGGAGCAATTATTTACACTGTTGAGCTCAAGCGCTATGGCGGGCCTCTTGGAATTACAATCTCTGGTACTGAAGAGCCCTTTGATCCCATAATCATTTCCAGCCTTACAAAAGGAGGATTAGCTGAAAGGTAAATTGGAAAGCAAATTATTTTTAAGTGTTCCTTTTGTCAAGATGAAGATTTATTTTGTTTACCTGAACATGCTAATTTTCATGGTTTAGCAGTGTATTTTTTGTATAATTCTCCAAATCTGAGTTTATAATCCTTTTACTGTCGGGTTTTTTATCATTGCCAAGTTCAGGAGCATGAGGAATGTCTTAACAGGATGTTCTTGCACATACTACATGGGACAGAGCAGAGGATTGTGGTCCTTATTATAGATCACCTGGGAGAAACTAATCAATCAAACTGCACAGCCACAGGAACATTTTAGCAGCCTTTTGGAAGCAGTAGCCTTGTAGAATAAAATAGGTAAAACACTTCCTGTGTCTTAAGGCACTCCATGTGTCTTAAGTTTATCTGAAAACATGCCTCATCATATACACACGCTGCATTTGTATACTTATTTACATACATCACAGTGAGCATTGTCTGAGGAGTAGAAATGCTCCTCCCGGTTAGTTCTGTATAGAGAATAATGAAAATGCTGAGGTTTTCTATTACCTAGAATAGGTAAAGTCACTGCAACAGGTACCTGTAGTGGTGGTTTCAAAGAGAACTTGCAGTGCACCAGACATCATATTGTGTGCAGCCAGAACAAACAGTGCATTTACACAAAGAATTTATTTTCTTCTCTTTATGTGATTAATCCTGAAAGCCACAGTGGTGGTTACTTGCTCATGGTGCCGTTATCCTGGTACGTTGTAAGACTTCCAGAAACTTGGCTCATTTCAGAACTTAGTGGGCTGTCAGAGATTGTTCTTAAACAGGTGGGCTGCAGCGGTATCATCCATAGGTGATTAACTCAGCCACTGCAGTAACAGCTATAAAAGCAAAATGAAAGAAAGAAAGGGAGATGAGATTTTCGTGATCCAAATATGCTAAGAAATTTCCTTTGTTGTTTATTATACTCAGTGTTTTACTTCTCTTTTATTGTAGGACTGGGGCAATTCACATAGGAGACAGAATCCTAGCAATAAATAGTAGCAGTCTGAAAGGAAAACCCTTGAGTGAAGCCATTCATTTATTACAGATGGCAGGAGAAACTGTCACCTTGAAAATCAAGAAGCAGACAGATGGTGAGTGTGGCCAAGGGTGGCATCAGTGGTCTTCAACACATGTGTCAGGTTAACATGCATTTAGACCATCCCTGGAAAAATGTTGTGTCAGTAGTAAAAAGCATATTCTTAGAAGTGCGGTAAAGCAATTACCACCACCCCCTCTTTTTTTTATAATCCTGTTCAGCTACCAGCCCCAAGAAATTTTCTGTCCCCGTGGGTCATGGAAGTGAACTGAGTGATGCTGAAGATGAAACCTCTGCTGCACAGAAATCTGACAAACTCTCAGACGTCTATTCCACTACAGTCCCAAGTGTTGACAGTGCAGTAGAGCTGTGGGATGGCTCTGGTATTGATACCAGCTTTGGAAGTCAAGGTACTATCAAGAATGCAATCGACAGTTAAAGTAAAAATTATCGCCTTCACGGTTGACCTTCCTTTGCCTTAAAGAGAACTTTATCTGTACCGACTTTAACCCTTGTACTTTGTAATGTGCTGGTGTCTCATTATGACCACACACCTCAGCAGGCAGTGTGATTTCTTACGCCTGGCTGGCCTCAGATTCATTCTTTCATGACAATGTGATGTGTTATGAAGCATTTATCAATATATTAACAGGCTTTTGTTAGCTTTACTGGCATCTGAATAGCCTGGTCCATAGCTCATCCACAACTAAATGAGTTTATCCTTCAAATACAGATCAATGAAAGGCACAGAACACACTGAAGATGTTAATGAATTTGATGCCCATATGCAGTAATTTTCAACTGGCAACAGATTTATTATAAACTGCTGAAGGGGGAACATTAGGCATTGCTTATCATTTGTAAATCTTTTGCTGCTTCCTCATTCCTGCAGCATTAGCATCTAACTTTCAGCTCGCAAAAACAGTCATTCAGTTTAAATACAGGATTTCCTTTAACACTAAGTTTTCTACTTCTGTTTGACTATTGTTTCCTATAGGATTTCCAAATAATTTCATTTTAATTTGTAAGACACATTTATTTAGGCAGTGAAGGATACAGACATCTATTAATTTCTAGACCACAAGAAAAATATCTTCCACATAGCTTCACTGTTTTATTTCACTCTTTAAAATCTGTATTTCCATAGTAAAGCAGGTATTCCCACTACCTGGCAGGTGTTTGGACAGGTAGATCCTTACCTCAAATATTTTTTAACATTCTTTCAATTTTATTTCTCTGTTGCTTTCCAGGAGCATGGGTAGTTCACAGAGAGCTGGTTTGTACCCTGACACAGAGAACTGAAACCGAGCTCTGCCCAGCAGATTTCCCACATAGACTGGAGTTGTGTGCTGATGCTTTTCATTGCTATTCCCTCATGTCCCTGCTCACTGAAAACAATGGTGGTTTCTTCTGGAAAGCAGAACATTTCCTTTGAAACCTGCTGAGCTACTTGAGATTAAGAAGTTACTGATGTCACTACTAGTGGCCATTTTTTCTGTTCTTTAATTTTTAAGTATTTCTTGGCCTTACTGCGTATATTTGGCATCAACATATTTTAAACAAGACAGCCTCCGTACATTTAATTATAAATCTTGTTTTCTACATCTTACTTTTAATTTACTGTTACATTTGTTTTAGTAGTTAATGTGTTAGGCTATATTCCTCCTGTATAATTTGTATTTCACTGGAGTTAGAGTTGGGATGAATTTGTTGTCTTTTCTGGTTTTAACTGCTTTGGTCATTTTATCAAAATAAATTGTGTTAGATTTTCTTCTGATACTTTTAAGTTCTAAGGGGAGGTGTTGCTGAAAAAGTGCCAAAATGATAGTTCTTGTTTCCTGGGTGAACTGATGATATTTGGAGCAAATTGTACAACTGTGGAAAGGATTGAGGAGAGACCCAGACTGCTTTCCTAAGTCCTGGTGATTCGGGTGCCATCCCAAAACTAAACCAGTATCTCAAGGCAGATTTTTTTTCGAACTCCCTTGAAAAAAATCAGCGCAGACTGGGCTGGGTCCGTGGCACTTCTGCTGAACAGCCCGAGTGTAATCAGAGTTGCGCCTTGTCCCTTGCTGTGGTACTGATGTGACCCACATTTCTATTAAGGTTCATTCTGTCTTGACCTCTCAAGTTGAGTTTGGCTTCCCTCCAAACCTTTCTTGGCATAAGCACAGGCAAATTGAAGACTTCGGGGGATGTTTCTGGAGCACCAGCTAATGCTTTATCCTATTAGTTACTAATTTAATGCTGGTGAGCAGTCTTTTCTCTCCTAGAATTAATACCCCATTTTGTACCTTTGTCTAATGTGTCTGCCTTAGTAATTCAGAGCCTTCTCCACACAGCAGTCACATTTTCACAACCAAAACCTTTCCTAGAATCAGGGAGTATGTTAATGCCTGCCAACTAGCTGGGAAATACTCACAACTCTGTAGTTGCATAGGATTTGAGGGAGACGGGTCTAGACTGATTTATGGAAGGAAATTGCCCTCTGTAGAGAGGTGACGGTGGTGGTATTTGTTAGTCATCAACAAAATAGAACTTCCCAATGCAATATGCACATCAGAAAATGCCAGCTGTAGAGCTAGAAAAGGAATATATCAAGATGAAATATATAGAGAGAGCATCTCTACAATAATGGATTTTGCTTATCAGATCAGCATCAGCTTGTAACAAGTCGATCCATGTGTTCTTCTTGGTACATCACTTGGAAGACAGACTGTCAGGTTCCTACTTGGAATTCAAATTACACCTAATTCTATTAAAGAAATACTATTGAAGTAATACCAACATTGCTTGTATGATGAAAGCACCCAGAAATAAACTTTTTTTCCAATAGATCTGAAGCACATTTTTCTTAACAGTCCGGGTTTAGTTTTGGGCATGTTACACATGACCATGTTATGCCATAGTTAACACATTCACTACTCACATGATTTATTCACTAGAATTCAATGTGTGATGTCAAATTGGAAACTGATAAATTGTGAAAATGTCCAGAACTAAACATCAGAAGCAGCTGAGGCACAGACAGTAGCGTTGGATATATTTAAGATTATACTTTCAGTAGGCTTTCACAAGAGAAGCTCTAGAGTGCACCTAATTTCAGGCATAATTTAGGACATTTATTCTTCTAAATATCTGACTGCTACTGGAAAAAAAAATCCCCAATGAATCATGAGTCCACATCCACGTTCCAGAGAACCCAGCTCCAGAGATGTGCTTTTCTGTCATCACAACATACGCAGTGCTTTAAATATCTAATGCATTTTTTTAGGACACAGCTATCAGGCTTCAGGATACAACTTCAATGCCTACGAATGGAGGAGTCCTAAGCAGACGACTTTGTCCCCTCCAAGCAAACCACGAAACCACCCATTCCATGATACAGGGCTGAGCGACGACGAATGGGACCGACCTGCAGCAAGCAGGTAAGCTCACGTATGAGTTTCTGTTCTCTGATTTGCAACTGCAGCAGTGCCTCAGAAATGAGCTCTTACTCTCTGAAATGAAATTATGTTTTTCTAATGCAGCGGTAGATGACTCTTCCTTTAAATATGAGATATGGTATTTATACCTAGTGAAATTCATTAAGGTAGATTAGTGACATTCATGGAAGATTATGATACCAAAATCAAGACATGTATTTCTTTTGAGTTACTTTAGACCAAAAAAAACCCAACAATTTATCTCTTAAGAATTAAAAAAGTTAGGCCATTCCCCTGGGTGAGTTTCAGAAAAAACCTGCTTTGTTTTCTACTCCACAAACATAAACCTACAATTAAAGCAGCTAAAGAAAACTGAAATGTTAATCTTTTGTCTTCCATGAAAATTCTTCATTTTGGTTTGGGCAAAGAAGCAGAATTTTCAGTCTTCTTCCATAAATGCTTGAGACATCTGCAGGGGTTCAGTAGGCAAAGAGAGTGACTGAGGTATCAGTGTCTTGTCCAAAGCTGTGGTAGTTTGCATTCTTCTTCCTCTGGGAAGTAAATCTCCTCTTCAGTAAATTTCTCTCCAGGCAAAAGACCTTCCTGAGGGAAGGATGCATAGTTGACAGTGCTTGGAGCTGGTGAAAGATCAAAAAACCCAAAAGTCTTTTATTCACTGTTCACTTTTATTCCACTGTTCCACTGACAGTGGAACCACTGCAGAGATTTGGGTCATTCCCACCAAAGAACAGTTCTTCCTTAGACGAGGGAAGAAAGGTTTCTGTGCTCTCTGTACCCATCCTCAGGATTGCAGACATGCGTGTCCTTCATCAGAAATGCAGTTTCTTGGTGTAGCAGCACAATGAGCCTGAAATCACCATCTGTGGGAAATTCAAGTTTATTACTAAGGAAAACCTTTCTGGTTCCTGTATAAATACACTGGATAAGTAAGTCTGTAAGGGCCAGTCTGTTAGCTTTGAAATATGAATCAAGGTAAGGCTTAGATGCCAGTCCTGCTTTTCAGAATCTGGATGACAAATGCTCTGATACAGCAGATTGCCCAGTGGCATTTTGTCTGGAGACAAGTCTGGCAAGATGGTAGCTAAGATTTGGGCAAGTATGAGCTGTCAGTCCGTATCCAGCTCCTTTGGTCCCTGCTGGCCAAAAGCATACCAGAAGTTTCCACAGGCTAACAGTGGGCAATATCTAATAAAGGAAAAGACCATTGTTTTCTTCATACCTGTCATTCTTGGTACGTTAATATCTTTAATTTAGTAGCAGCATTTTTATCCACAGTTAAAGCCCATCTTTGGTTTCTGAGATGAGATGCAGCCGTATATGCAGAGCACCTACTGTTTTGCAGTTACATCAGTAATACATTGCAAAAGCTGATGAGCAGCGAACCAGGAAGCTAGATTGTAAAATACAAATTTTCTAAATGAAATGCATGGATTCTACTACTGTTTTAAAGCAGTATTCAACAGAAAGTATGCATGTTAAAGAATCTCGTTCTGCTTGTCAGTGTGACTTACATTTGAGGTATATGGCACAAATTAAAATAATGTTTATTTTAACCTTGTATCTGTAAAATGGATTATGCCACACCTGATGGTGTTCCTATACCAAGTGCTGGAGTGTTTGAGAAGAGCGTGTCAGTTCTTCCAGCCTGTTGCAGGGAACCTGTTACAAACACCTCCTCTCTGCCTCTAGCTAAGCAACTTACCTTCTTCTCCAACACTAAAAAGTAATTTCTTCTTACCTTTACTTTGTGTAGCACAGCTTCCAAGAATATGTGGCAACAGAAGGAGACTGAGACCTTGGGAGAGAATCAAGAAAACCATTTAAAGCAAACTTCTGTGGAAAGACCAGGGGGAGAGAGCATCAGGAGCATGAAGAAGGAGAGCAAGCTGTGGAAAGGTGCCCCTGGTGGGCAAAGGAAAGGTGGGGGACAGCTGGAAGAGTGGAATACTGCCAGGTAGGACAACAAGGAGTAAATAGGAGCGAGATCCAGCTGGGCTGAGGTGGGGGCAAGGATGGAAGGAAAAACAACTGAAATGAAAAAAAGGAGTAAAAAAACAAGTATAAAAGCAGAAATCAAATCATTAGCATGCTACTGAGTGGCAGTGACATTACAGTTCACAAGCAAATGAAATCGGAGAGCTAAAGCCACTCTGTAGCCTGGAGTCTGCCTGTCACTGGTAGAGAGGACAAGGCTGTCATGGATCCTGCTCCAGGGAAAATTTTTTGCACACTAAAACAATACTTACAGGAATGAGTCTGCCAGATCCTAGAATGTCCTTATCACCTCCTGAATTAAAAAAATACATATATTTTGTCTCTCATATGCCAATAAGAACCAAATCATAGGCACCTGTGTCTTCATATCTGTCCCACTACCTCTCCTTCAGCATTTTTATGCATCTAAAGTTCTGACAGCTCTTTGAATAAGCATCAGAAAACCAGATATATTTGTTATAGGTCAAACAATATTTCACATGACAGAAAATCAATCTCTTAGGGTTCAGGAAAAAAAAAGCCATCTAGATGAGAAATTATTTTGGTACCTCGTTTTTTTTTTTTTTGCAGTAGCTCAGCTATAAATCTGTTTATTCATGTGGCTGTAATGGAGATATGAAAGTTGAGCATTTCACACACCAGGAGACAATACTCAGAGAAAAGGCAAAAGAGGAGGTGAGGGCAGAAAGGAATTGCTTCAATTAAGAAGAGGTCCAGACATACAGGCATCATGATTTCAGGTTTCACAGGAGTCAGAGACGAAATGGGACCTCCTGTTCTAGGAAATCCAGTCTTCGTTGTCACAGACAATTGTGTCTCATAAATCCTGTTCATTTGAACTCAAGTTCCATTTTATATTTTAATATTAGTACGCAATATAAAGAAAGGTATTGTAATGGATAAAGTAGTCTGTGTTCACCATTGGCTATTAAAACAGCTGCTTAGGTTTATTGAAAGAGCTAATTTCAGAAGTCAAGGATCTTTCTAAAAATCACATTTTCAATACTTTCTCATCTCGCATCTGTGATCTGAGCAGGTATCCTCACCATTGCTAAATCTATTGCAATGCCTTAGGGGAGACACTGGTGCTAGATGGAGAATCACTGCAGTAAGAGACTGCAATGGCTGAGCGCTGTCTGCCTGACTGATGGTGACTGTAAGGACGCATCTCTGAGGCAGAGTATCATGAGTGTGAAGCATTCCAGCTGTCCTCAGCTGTGCTGGGCAGTTCTCCTATTTAAGAGCTGCTCTGTTAACACTGTTGCATTCACTCTATTCTCAGTAATGTGTTGCTTCCATAATAGCGTTTGCTCTGTTTATGTGCTGTTAAGCACCACTGCTGCAGTCCAGGGGCAGCTGCTGCAAAGGAACAGCTTGCTGCCACCAAAAGGTTGAATTCCCGCTCTTTCCTGCCTCATCCTTCCCCTGTGCCTTACATGAAATCAGCCCTCTCCCTGCAGCAGCTCTGCGCTTGTGTCAGCCTCATTGAGCTGATTCCCCTTGCTAAGACAGCAAAAAATTCCTGCTTCCTCCCCACACACATACACTGCAACGGTGTTGCTTTGGGCTGTGTTGCTGCGGATCAGAGTTGGTGTTTTTTATCAGACTACTCTTGCTGGGCCACTTCCCTAAGCATTGCTGTCTGCAGCACCTTGCTCGAGTGGTAGTGATGAGGCTTTGGTGCATTTAGGAAACACCAGAGACCCAAGTCTCCATGCGAGGCAGTTGCATCCCTGAAAGTGTCTCTGTGTTTGTGTATGAAATGTCTGGAGCAGTTTATGTGATGGCAGTCAGGTGGGCTTGAACTGATAGTGAGAAATGCAGCTTAGACTGAAGGAATCAGGTCCCTCTTTTGCAAAATGCTCTTTGCAAAAATGAGGGCTCTTTTCGTATTCCCTGGGAGAAGTCTGTAAGGTTGAAAGGTTTTATTTTAAATATTTGCACAGAGCAGCTCTGCACACAGCTACTGGTTGGTTCATGAATTTTCACGGGGAGGTCCCACTTTCAGTCCAGTAAAAAAGCGTATGAATTGTTCCTGGAATCCATTTATCTCCTGGCTGAGTAACTCGCTGCTCAGACCCTGCCAGCTGCTGGCCACTGCCAGGTTGGGAGAAGGTTTGTCTGTCCTGGGCCCTGCGTGTCCATCCGGCCCCTCCTGATCAGCGGCTCTTGTCCCCACTCCTGCCTACCCACTGTAGCGTTCTGTCACTCGAGCTGCAGTCTGTGGCAAGGCACGTGTGTAAAATATATTTTTTGAGGGAAAAAAAGTCCACGTTTTGTTTAACCTCTCATTGTAAATCTAGCTTCGCAGGTACCCATGATAACACCGAGGCTGACCAGGAGGAAAACTTCTGGTCTCAGGCTCTGGAGGATTTAGAGACCTGTGGCCAGTCAGGAATTCTGAGGGAACTAGAGGTAGAACAATCTTAAGCTTTCTTTCCAATTATAGAGAAATGTAATGGTTTTGGTTTGGTTTACATTCATTTTATTTTCTCCTTTTTTATTTTCTTTTACGTTGCACTAATCGCACCAATTCATTTAAAAGCTTTAACCCCTCTCCACAGGACAAGGCTGACAGGCGTCTGTGTTTGAGAAACATGACTCTCGTGGTACCTACCCTTTACCTTTATATTTTTGCTTGTGCAGCTGCCTCCCCCACCCCTAACAGAGCTGTTTTCTTTTGTACCATGCAACCAAAAACTCTATCAACGTGCTCACCCCAGAGCTTTTGACTTGCAGCTTCTGCTGTGCATAACCATTGGTGCTGCCTGCACAGGCAGCAGTGGCGCAGGACTCCTTGAGTGGGCATAACCTTCCTGCAGCAACGCATCCCATTCTCTGACAGACGCTTTCTGCAGCTTTTCTTAGCATGTTTTAGGTTGTCTTTTCAACTGAAACTTAATTTGATTAAGGTGAACATAAAAGAAAATCAGCTTTTCAAACTGTTTACCTGTAATCTTGCCACTCTGCATAAAAAGCTGCCAATGTGAGAAATGTTCGTTACGCAGCAATTTCTTCACTGTGTGACGTATTTTCACATTTTGTCCTGAAGTTAATTGCAAATCTAACCGTGCTTTGGGTTAGATTGTGAGGGGGCAGAGGGAGAAGCGAGCAGGGACAGAGTAACTTTGAGTCTTTATTTTTCTAATCACCTTTTCTCAAAGTTGTCTAATCGGAACAGTTAAGATTATGCTGCCTCTAAAAGCTGTAGAATGAAAAGTCCTAAAATATTTTCTTTTATGTTCTTGTAAATTCCTGGAGCTGCAAAACTGGCAGAATCTCATTTTCATTTTTATGTTATATAAAGTCCTTTAGCAGTCAGGAGGAATGTGAATGGCATCACTGGGTGAAAGTTTTTCAGTTTCGATTAATTTACTTCCTCAGATTTATGGCTTTTGTATTGCATGTATGGGTAGCAAAATGTGATTCTCATGTATTTGTTATTGCAAACCAGAGAAATGTAGGAGAAAATGTTATACTGGTTTAATTCCATAGTTAGATATGGTTCGCTACCTCAGGCTTCTCTTGCAATTTTCAATATTCAGAGCACAATAAAAGGATATAGAAATAGATAATCCCAAAATGGAAACAGATCATTCATGCTGACCAGAATTCAGTTGCTTCAACACACTGACTTTTCCTCAGCCTTGCACAGAAGTGAAATTCAGATGTGGAGGTGCTGTAGCATTTATAGCATCGCCTTGTTGCACAGCCTCCAGCTCTGACAAGCAAGCCAGACTCATTCAGTACAACACAGGGCGGAGAATGACGATGCCTCTGTTTTATGAAGGGCCATTGCGTAGTCAAGGACTCCTTACCATTTTTCATTTCAAGGTCTTCAGCCAAAGAGCAAAGAAAACTGTTGTTTGCCAAGTCCTCTGGATGCTTTGGGTCCATCAGGGAGCAATATCAGTCATTACAGAGCTCAAGACAGGCTGTTAAGGGTACAATAGATTATCTCATAGTGAAAGTAGTGCTGGAGCTGCGAGAAGGCATCTGACAGTGATGCTCACCAGAGTCAGAAGCAGATGTTTATTTGCTGGTTTCCCCCTTATTTTTTCCCCCTTCATTTTCACTTCTCATTTTCAAGCAGGCTGCCTGCATGCTGTCCGCATCAGAGTACAGGTTATGGCCTTTTAATGTCCCTTTCCACTTACCCATCAGCACCAGGGAGAACAGGAATTTCAGCGTACCCTGTTCCAGCAGTGGCACCTCTGTACGGTGGCTGTGCCGAGGTGCATTTGCCTCCTGTTCCCCAGAGCAGAAAGGCCTTCGCAAGGGAGGAGACTCCATGCACTGCACGGGTGCTTTTCATGTCAGTCTGTTCCACTCGGTGGGTGAGATGGCTGCCACCATCATCTCTTGAGATGTCACCCTCGTGTGTTCTTGCATCTAAAACAGAAAAGGCTAGCTTTTATTGGAATTAAAACCAGCAGTGAGACAGCGGCTTGTACCTCTGAAGTATCAGCACTAAGCTAAGGCAGTTACTCCTGCAATATGGGTGTTATTATAGAAAGTTTCTATCCAGGCAGCATTACCTGTGCTGAGCTTTCCCTGGCCCAGGATGGTATCCGGGCATGCTCTCTGCCCATGCTGGCTCCAGAGCTGCCTACACACTCTGCTGACTCACGTTTTCTTACCTTGCACGCACAGGCTGAGTTGTAAATGACTTCCTGTAGCTCCAATCCCAACAAATGCAATTATGCCGCAACTTAAATATAATTTTATTTACAAGTAGAATATTTTTTAAGTAAGCAATTATACTACACACTCTTCAGTCTGCCAGGGGACTGGCTTACCAGCATAGCTGTTCTAGTGCTCAGTATTTTAGCTTGAAATGCCATCTGAAAACATTTGCCCACAGGGCTTTGTTCTTGTTGTTGTGCTTTGTTGTGGTCCTTTATTTTAGCAGATTGAACATCTATCCTCTCGCCTTTTGCTGTGCCCTGAGTGACTGTGTTTTAACAAAGAATAGAGATGTTTTTCCTACTGCTATGAATTAACCGCTTACTTCACCCGCGCTCTGCGTTAAAAATTAACCTGTTCGTTAATGCTCTAGGCCACGATTATGTCAGGAAGTACAATGAGTTTGAACCATGAGAGCCCGCAGCCCCGCAGCCAGCTGGGACGACAAGCCAGTTTCCAGGAGAGAAGTTCTGTGAGGCTGCATTACAGCCAAGCCACTCGTAGCAACACATTGCCATCAGATGTAGGGAGGAAGTCCATGGTTCTGAGGAAAATGAAGCAAGAAATGAAGGAAATCATGTCACCAACTCCTGTGGAGTTACACAAGGTCTGTAATTGGCTTCTGACAGCTCTGAAATAATATATTCAGCATAGGGAATCTAATTATATGGCAATACAGTAAGCACTTTTTGTAATGACTCCACAGATGTAATTTGGGTGCCATGCATATTAGTTCTTACAAACACATTAATGATATATCCTTGTGGGGGAAGCAAACAAATAAGATGCATCCTTGTCTACTATTTAGTTTTACAATGAATCCTCAAAAGGGACTGCTCTTTTGCAAAGAGGATCCACTGGTAATTTGACTTGACAATACCAATAACTCATCACCGCAAAACGTGTTCATTAAGAAAGCAAAGTTTAATTTCTAGAAAATACATTCCTTTAGGAAATTACTCAGGAGAGTTTGAGGCTCCCATTGGTCCTTTTCCAAATTAACACTCATTTTGAATCAAATGCATGAGACTCGATATACATAATACAGAATGTTATTTCAAATTAGCTATTGCTTCCCTTCTCTTTATAATTCCTTTGCTCTAAAAAGGATAAACGATCTTCAGTCTATGCAACTTTTCACTGCTCAACACTGTTGAAATCACTTGGTGATATGAAGGTGGCTCTGCACCCCAAGTGCTGGATGAAGTATCTTTAGATATGCACAGCAAATGCCCTGCTGGTTTAAGGTTTAAGTTTCAAGTCCAGTGAGGCCATAAGAGCAACCAGTTTCCAAAACTTTGGTGGATATTATAATGCTGTTCTCCCTGATGGGAATGCGCATCCCATCCGCACCCGTCTTCCTCTTAAAGGTCTTAGTAGTCTTGGTTTGTACTTCATTCAGTTTAGTGCAGTGAAGGAAGTACTCACCAAGTATGGGCCAAGATGAATGTTTGTAGAAGGTGTATGAAAAACTAATCCCTTGCCAATGTAAACAGTCAGTAGGATGTGTTGGGATAGTTTTAAGCTATTTGTATTTCCAGCCTGATGTGAAGCGATTAATGGAGGAAGTTACTGTGCTCAGTTCTCCCGAGTGGCGAGTAAATATGAGATATAAAACAAAAATCTGCCAGTAGGCATTTAATTTCATTCTCCTATGGATTTTGAAACCAGCCTTTCGTAACTGATAAAATAAATCCTTTCCTGGAAAGGAGTCGTCAGATTTCTATTAATGAGTCAGTGTTCTATGATAGCTGCCAGTTCTTAGAGTCCTGGGCAGTAAAAAATACCTTGTCCTTGAGCTTTCTCTCTCTTCAGTTGTCTATTTTTTAAGATTGCTGTGACTTTCCGTTTTAGTAATTTCTGGTTTTTGTTGAGACAAGATACCTATTTTTCCACTGTCTGCTGAAGTGATGTTGAATTTGCTTATACTGTCTGTTCTGTAATCCAGAAAAGAGTCCTTTCCTTTCTGAAAAATGTAAAAGTTGAACCTGCAACCAGGGTTTTCCAAAGCCTTATGGTCATTTAAGAAAGATAGAAACCCATGACTGGATCTTACGATCTGATTCACCAAAGTGGGCTGGTACCCCTGTGATCACACATGCAGGCTAACCCAAGCATCACGGGCTGCTTTTGTATGCAAGCCCGTCTTAGCAAGCTCTTATTTGTTACTTCTCTTACCATTAAGTTTTGTTCTGTTTTCATAAAAATGAAATGCATCAATTGCCAGTCTGACTGCACAGGGTAAGAGAGAATAAGACTGGATAAAAACTACTCAGGCTGCAAACACAAATGAGTCAGTGTGATGGAAGAGCACGGGGAGCAGATGACATTGGTGGTTTGTCCTCCTCAGATGTACACCTGGCAGAGAGGTAGCGCAGCCCTGAGGGTTATTTTCCTTGAATGCTGCAAACTTTGCAGAAAGTTAATCTGAATTCTTCACCGCTCTTTCTTACCTCACTGTATTACACTCACCAAACGTGTGCTTGAACTGTGTGCTGAGGAAGCTGCAATTGAGATAAGTGTCGCACTGATCTCTTCAAACATTTGTTCTAGATGATTTAATAAGTAACATTTAATTTAACTGGATAGCACATTGCTGTATCAGTACTCAAATTTAATTAATGTCTTTAATTGATTTTATCTACCTAGATAAGCATATAGATTAATATTTTTCTAAAAATCATAACAGACCATTTTTTAAAAGTTTCATAGAGCACGCATTCCTCTGAGAGCCAAAATATGCACTAGACATCAGATAATTTTTCAATATTATTATTATTGCAAGTAGTCGTTAACCTAAAATTAGAGTCGAGTAAAACACCTCAATAGCTGATCTGTGCAAGATGTATGAATTTAAATTAAGCATTTTCCCACAGATTGGAGAGGGAGGAGAGGCATAGAAACACTCGAAACTTGTAAGCCTCTGTTTAAAATTTGTAACAATTTAATTGCTTATGAAATATGAATTAAATTTCCATTTCAGCCTTCTTTTTTCCCTTAGGCTCCTCATGTAAATTTAAAAGTCTAACAAATTGCCCATAATGGAGATTTTGCTATTGAGATCAAACCTTTCAGACAGTTGTGATGGGAAGTACAGATAAAACAGCAGGATTTAGGTGTTGCAGTCTGATCCCCTTCAGGCAGGGCTGCACTGCTGGCAAGTGAGGAGAAACCTGCATGGTAAGGCTTTGCCCATACCCGTTACAGGGTTTTTACTCTGTGATCCCCTTCTAAGAATATGTGCCACCCTAAAAAGTAGTAACCCCAAAACTATAACCTGTAATACAAAAAGTTATCTCAGGATGACTTGCACCTAAAAATGTGACAGCTGTCAGTTAAATCATCCCGAAAGTGAATGAGTTTTTTTAAGTTTCCAAGCTCCTCTTAAATAAACCACATGGCCAGAAAAGCCAATGGCATCTTGACCTGTATTAAAAACAGTGTGACCAGCAGGTCCAGGGAGGTGATTATCCCCCTGTACTTAGCACTGGTGAGGCTGCACCTCGAGTACTGTGTTCAGTTCTGGGCCCCTCACTATAAGAAGGATGTTGAGATTCTGGAGAGTGTTCAGAGAAGAGCCACAAGGATGGTGAGGGGTCTGGAGAACAAGCCTTATGAGGAACGGCTGAGGGAACTGGGGTTGTTTAGCCTGGAGAAGAGAAGGCTGAGGGGAGACCTCATCACCACCTACAACTACCTAAAGGGAGGTTGTAGAGAGGTGGGGGCTGGTCTTTTCTCCCAGGTGATGGGGGATAGAACAAGGGGAAATGGCACCAAGCTGTGCCAAGGGAGGGTCAGGTTAGAGATAAGGAGGAAGTTCTTTACTGAGAGGGTCGTCAGAAGCTGGAACAGGCTGCCCAGGGAGGTGGTGGAGTCACCATCCCTGGATGTATTTAAAGAGCGGGTAGACGAGGTACTTAGGGATATGGTTTAGGGGGTGGACAGGAACGGTTGGACACGATGATCTCAGAGGGCTTTTCCAACCAAGCAGTTCTGTGATTCTGTGATTCTGTAAACCAAAAGTCAAGAGAAAGTAGCCATAAGGAAAACAGACTTTTCAAATCTTTTCTAATCTGTAGATCAGAAGAACCAGAGAAATGAGAAAATATTTTTTATACATAAAAGTTCTGTTTGCAGGGTAGCGAGTAATTCCTTTCCCGAGCGCTCAGTCCATCTAAATCAGGAAAGTCCAACCTGAACGATGAGGGGGGCAATCAAAGGCTTTGGACAATCATTCCCAAGTTCTGCTTCTGCCCCACTGTCCTGCACATACAGTTTCCCACCTGCACAGCAGAACTCCCCTTTCATGTCCCTTTTAATTTGCAGTGCCCCATTTTTTGCCTCACAAGCTGGGCATGAAGTAGCACATGGATTCCCTGCGCATTATTACAGACAGGACACAAGATAAACTGGGCTAATGTGCAATGGCACTGCCTCAGATCTGTGGAACAGAATTTGAATGTATTTTGTGTGCTAATAAACCACTCACTATAGGAAAAAAGCAACACTTAGACCGTACAAATGGGACCATCATCTGTGGTACGTGCAGAATTATTCTCCTCTTCAGCTTGGCTTTGATAAGGTCTTGACTGTAATAGGGTGTCCAGTTTGGGGTCTGAAAATTAAAGAAGGATGTTAACCTACTGAGCAGAGTCCAGAGAAAAACAGTCCTCGTTTCACATCACTGCAGAGAAGGAGAATGAAGGGATCTTGTTGTCTGTGTATAGCAGCAGGCTTAATACTCAGCAAGGGCGATTTAGTTCAGACCTAAGGAAAACTTCTGAAGCATGGGAAGGGATTACTTTAATAGACTGTGGAGTCTCCATGACTGGAGGTTTTAAAAAGCAGGACAAATAAATGTCTCTCAAAAATGGGTTAGATGCAGTTGATCCTGCCTTAGGGCAAGAGTGCAGTCTGGAGGACTTCAGAGAGTCCCGTTTCATACGTTTTTGTAGTTCATCTGAGGTTGGATCCAGCTGCACTTAACTTGAGTGCCTGAAGGAAGAGGAAGGGGAAGTTCCTTTTCAAAACCGTGCCATCTGTGCTAGAACAGTGCACACTATTTTAAGTCTTCTCCTCTTCGGCACTGTATCGCATTTTTAGGTTTACTTTTCAAGGCTTCTTTAAGAAGCTGTTACCATGAAGCACTCCTGCCCTTCGTCATAGCATGGGAAAAAGTTATCATCTCATTTGAGGAGAATTTATGTCTTAGTCCAGTGCTAATTATTTTTCATTCTTGCCAGGAAATGCACACAAATCTGTCATTAAAGTAAATCTCCCTCCTTTCTGTATTTTTTTCCTCTTGACGAACAGTAGTTTTAGCACTTTCATAGCAGCTTCAAACAGCCTTCAGATCAAAGCCATGTTAGACATGCTGTGATACCACAAACAAAAGCCTTTGTTGATAACAGATTATTAGAATCCCTGAGTCCTGCTGCTGCATCAGCTGTTGATGCGTATGAAAATCATTCTATGATGAATTATTTTGAATGTGCGGATAGGTTTTTTCAGTAGCTAAAACGCCCATTGACTCCTGAAACTCACACTGAGATGGAGGAAGTATAACAGGTTCGGCAACAAGTTACTTTTGGGGAAGGTGGGAGAAAAGCACTGTTGATACATCACTAAAGCCCAATAAATTCAGGAAAACTGCAGAGAGCAGGGAAAATAACCTCACACCCAACAATCTGTGCTCTTTGCTGATCTGATCAAATCCTTCACTCTTGTTTTGAGTCAACCTCATCTGTTCTTTGCTTCCTTGTCCACAATGGCAGTTACGGCAGCTCAGGCACTTTCTGAAGGCAGCATCAGCAGCGCTGTGCCCCAGCACTGCTGTGACTTGGTGTTTGTCTATGAACAGAGTCCTCAGCAGCCTCATCTGAATTCAGTCTTGGCCCTGCCCTGAGCAGGAGATGGGATTAGACTTCCTGGAGTCTGCATGATTCTGGGATTCAGAAACGCCAGAAAGGAATTCAGTGGCTGGTGTGTGTCAGGATGCAGCACATAGAGCATTACTGACACCCAGCCATTATGAAATTACAGAGCACTCGTAAGGTTGTCCTTTTATCAGCTAAGGTGCATTTTGAATACAAAGGGAAGAAAACCATAGCAGTAAAAGCCCAATTTTGACTGTGTGACTGCATCTGCACACATACTTTGTGCCAGCATCAGTGTGTCAGTCAGATTGCACACCATTGATGCACAATTTACTTGCACAGGTCTGGACTCCTGATGTGAGAGAAGCAAGGAAAAAATAAAAAATCAGAAATTTAAAAATAAAAAAACCAACCTAAGCATACCACATAACTGCAAAAGGTCTGAATCCTTTTCTATCGAGTAACTGAATTTCACCTGTGAAAAACCTTCTCCTAACAGTCTTAGCAACGTCTGTTTTCTGCTTTCGAATGACCACCTCTTGGCTGGGTGGCTGTAAGAGCACTGCCTGACAGCTCTTTCTGAAGGAGCCGTATTCACGCTCTGTCAAGAGATTGCACTGAAACTCTCATACTGAGCACTTTCGAGGTTAGGCCTCACAGGGTGGACCATTGCTTGGCCCACACCAGGCTGGCTTGGGCTTAGGGTGCCGGTGGTGTTCATGCCCTGTGGAAGTTTTGGAAGACACCAATTGTTTGGTTGAGGCCAGGTCTTCATCTCTGAGGCAAAACTGAACTTAATTGCATGGGCACTTGGCTGCTTGTGCTCAGATCCTGGCAACTAGAGAACAGGGTAGTGAAAAACTGAGTTGTTGACTTTTTTTAAATGACACCACAAAACGTGGGATAAGCCCACACATTTGCATCTGCCAAGCAGAAGTGAAAAGGGCTGCTTATTCTTGAAGAATAAGGAGGCTTCTGAGAATATTAATATAACGTCAAAATGGGGACAGCTCCCATGTAATACTGTAAGTACCAAATAGTAAGTAAGTGAGCTCTCTAATGTGGAAAAAAACCCCAAACCAAACCATGCTAGAAGGCAAGCCTGCCTAGTGCTTATAGAAATGCGGACAAGCTATTCTTTCTGTTTCTTGTAATCATGTCAAAAATCACTTCCACAGGTAACTTTGTACAAGGACTCTGACGGAGGAGACTTTGGGTTCAGCGTTGCAGATGGTTTATTGGAAAAGGGAGTCTACGTTAAAAATATTCGACCAGGTGGCCCTGGCGACCTGGGAGGTTTAAAACCCTATGACAGACTTCTACAGGTAACGTTTCTGGCACTGCACAGGTTTAGCGTGAAGGGATGTGACTCTGGGGATTACTTTGTAAAAAGATTTGTAACCTCACTGCAGGGTATTTGGGTATCTGCATACACAGACCTGATTGTGGAATTGCATAAAAGTGTTTACAGCACTTATTTGGAACAACTTAATTCTCTACATCGCTTATTATATTTTAAATTATAAGTAGGAATGTTATTTTCCGTTTCTGCTGGGAAAGGATGTGTGTAGGGGAACGGGAAGGACAAATTATTGTAATTGCTCAGCACCACAGGCCCTGTAAATCACTGAGACCCTCAGTAAGAAAAGGAAGAGCTTTGTGGTGACTTGGGCTTCTACACAGTGGCACTAAGGTGAGATTTCTTCTGTAAAACCTTATTTAAAGGAACAAATTCTTTCAGAATGTTGGAGATTCCAGCACTCCGAAGGAGACATACAAATGTTCACTGGAGAGCTGGAATTTCGTAAGACATTTCCAGACAGATTTGTAGTTTTTACTGTTCTTGATACAGACTTGAGAATTGCTTCTGTGCTTCATCCAAGTTGTTGATTGACAGAGTTATAATAATGTAATTCTCGCTGAGCACCACACTTTCCACAGTGCAAGTTGGATTGGGATGGATAACCTAAATTTTGTTGTCAACTAGCCCAATAAAATACTTTCTATATTAATTAAAAGCAGAGAAGACCTGAACTAAATTGAAATTTTAGATGTGACCTGTTGCATTTAAATTAATGAACACCATGAAAGACAGAACTATGTGCTATTAAATATCATTTATGTAGTGGGCATTGTGACAGCTGCCACCAGTGCAAGTATGCCCACTTTAGCTACCTACTGTTAAAGGGTGAGTAGGCAACTTAACTGGTGTCTTCAGACCAGATGCCATGCTTAAAAGCTCTTGTATTAAGCAATTCTCTACCTGGAATATTATTTAAATCAGGTTCCAGTGTCAAGGATAAATCTGTTTCTCTTGTAATCTCATTTCTTTTTCCTAATGTGGTAACAAAAAGTCAATGTCTCATCTTTCAGATAAACCACGTTCGCACCAGAGACTTTGACTGCTGTCTGGTTGTGCCCCTCATCGCCGAATCTGACAATAAGCTGGAGCTGGTGATCAGCAGAAACCCTCTGGCGTCCCAGAAAGGAAACCCAGAGCAGAACCCCACGAGCGGGGAGTGGAGCAACCAGAACAACGCCTTCCTGCAGCAGAGCGGGCACCCCACTGTCACCACAGAGATGCGGGACCCTACAAACACGTTATAGCAGAAAATCACTGCACTGGGACATTCGGTAACGGAAGACAATTATGGTGCTAAATCCCTGTCAGATTTCTCTGCGATTGTGACTCAGATGCTACATAGCACTAAAAAGCACAGGTCAGTCTGTCTGTCTCAAGGCTTGTATTAATTCATGGTTACTTTTGAAAAAGTTTAATTCTTTTTTAAGTCAAGTCATTCCATTCTAAACAACCTATCATTAGCAACAGTATGAAAAGTTGTAAGGGCCGTTTTATTCCCCCAAATAAGAAAGAGGGGAGATGTTTTATACATTAGTTACGTGTTCCTCTCTCTTCATCAGCAGCTCCTGTTTGACAGAAACACCACTGCTAGCAGTGGTAACCAGGTTTACACCATTTTTAAAAACATTATCAGAAAGTCACTGTCTGCTGGCCAAGGAAGAGAGGTGTGCAGCACCGGGTTTTCTCAGTAAATGGCTAGAGCTGTATTTCTGGGGACCTTTATACTGCTGGCAAGAAGGGAGTGCACTCTTCAGACAGAGCACAGCGTAGGTGTGTTTTAACAAAATGCTCGCAGGAAGCTGCAGTGTGCAGTGAATACTCCCCACTTTGGTAAATTTAGTCTGTTCCTCCCTATGCAATGAACTATTTAATGGTATGGCTTGCACCCTGTGGGGATTTTTAAGCAGAATTTTTTTAGCGGGATAAAACCTCTGAAGGCGCATTACTAATGAGTAAAACTGAAATGAGTTCGGACAAATTTTAAAAACCTTTCTAAAGAAAAAGGCTTTTTTTAAACTATGCCAGTGGATGACTGAGACAAAAGTTCTTTAATGATCCCTAAACCTGTAAACTTGTCACATGTGAGCTTTTTAAGTCAAACAATTTCTTGAAGGGACAAAAGTCCCATTTAATATGCTTTGTTTTCAGCCTTCTTTATGATAAACACTTCCCCCTGCAACACGTTTTTAGAATTTCAAATTGTAAATATATCTTTTACAAATTCTCTCCTCCACCCTCTCCCCCCAAGCAATAAAATACTGCCAGTTGCTTTATATGCTCACCAGCAGCTGCTTTGGTTTATTCCGGTATTCAAGTTGTTCTTGGTAATAATTATTGTAATTGGTGAATGTAAAGATACTGGATTTGTACATTTGTAGAGTCTCCATATCTAAGCAATCACCTCACGGAGTTGTTTCTGGTCAATTTAAACTGTTTTACTGTATCCCTGTTGCTGTTTCCAAGACATGAACAAGCTCACCTGCCCTGCACATACAAGTAGCTCCGATTTCTATTTCAGCACTGCCAGGAAAGGTCAGAATGACATTCGCTGCTGACTAATGTAAAAAGAAAAAAAAAAAAATGTTCATGTTTTCATGTTAAATATGTATTTTTATTTGTAACAAATAAGTATTAAACTGTAAAGTATTTTTGTACAAATTTAATACTTTAATAGCATGATATTTATCGTCTATGTTATGTTTTTTTTGAAATTCAAACTGTTGCAAATATTTGTATGGAAAAAACTGTATAAATTGAAATAAACAGTGATTTAAAGACATTAAAAATCATAGAATGGTTTGAGTTGGAAAGGACCTTAAAGATCACTAGGCCCCACTATAATATCACCTGCCCCTACCATCCCTTCTATCCTGACCCATACAGGTAGCATTTTTCTACTTCCTAATTTTTTTTCCAGTTTTAGCAAAAAAAAAACCACGTTTGTGTGTGGTACACTTTTTCCTGACATATTTGTTAAAAAAAAAAAAAGTTAAAAGTAAAGGAGCTGTCCAAATCTTAATACAGTTGGTCTGAGGCTTGAATTAACATTCAGTTTATTAAGCGCAAAAATTCAGGTAGCACACAAAGGTTGAAAGCGGAATGTTATTTGAACTCTGACTTGGAATTTGGCTTTTCTTACCAAGATCATGATCAGCACCTATTAGGGAGAACAGCAATGAAAAGCTTTACATCTCTTTCAGGTACAAAGTGAGAAAAAATTTTTGTGTGTCACTGATGGTAACTTTCTTTTTCTATTTATAACAAGATCAAAATCCATAACCCGTCAAAGCTTCATGCCCATACTTCTGCCACATTAGAAAAAGCTGAAGTCCCCCTTTCTAAACTATCTTTTTGACTTGAGCAGACTGCCATTTTTGTCACAGCAGTAGCAGCTTCTCCTCAGCGCCGTAGCATCAGGAGACAGATAAATCTTAGGATGGATGTCTGGAGCCTTTAAACCAAGAAAATCCCATGTATTTTTAAGGGTACGATCTGTAAGTTTCTTTTTTTTTTTTTAAATGGAATGTTGTGATTTTTAATGGCTGACACACGAACAAATCTCCTACTAAAAGCTGATCACTGAAAATGTTAAAGGTTCACTTTAAAACAAGCTGTTCTTCATAGAACCTGCAAATATAGAAAAGCCCTTGAAAATCCTCTGTGTACCCTGCTTCTCCATTCCAAACATCTTGAATGAAACAGGTTCAAGAAAGGTTGACAGAGGACAGTTGTTTGTTAGCTTTTGAAAAGCGTCCTAGGACTTGGTTGTCCCAGAGTTAGATTCTGAAGTCTGGAAGACCCAAGCGGAGAATCTTCTACTGTTCTCTGTTAAAAGAAAAAAGTGTTACCACAGTTAGAACCAGAACTAAAATACAGTAACATCTTCAAAAAAAAAAAAAAACAAACCCCTTTTTCAATGACAGAGCTCAGAACTCAGATATAATGAAAAAAAATCCATTAATAATGTTTTACTGTATAAAAGTATCTACTTCAATGATAAAATTATATATAATCTTTCACAGTAGGTCAGCTCCTAAAATTGACTTCTGTGCACAAAGAAAAAGCTAATATAGGCTAATCTAGCCAGCAGATCACTCCAATGAGTAGTAAGATTTACTACTACTGACATTATAACTTATTTTCCCCTATTACTCATATATTATTCTGGGAAAACATCTGCCAAACATAACTGCTTCACCAGTTACTGGTCAACTTGAAAATCATTAAGTTATAGTAAAACAGTCACAACAGTATCCAGGCCACTTGCAGTAGTGGAAGAGTGTGCAAACGTTTCAAACAAACTTTCTCAGTGAGGAGCTACTTACACGGGGTGATTTCACAGCAGTCTCAGAGGTCCCTGCAAGACTCAGTTGTCTTTTGTATGGACTTTGCTGCAGATCGTCGGTCCGCTTCTTTTCACTGCAAACTGCTGCCCCTTCCTGTTGCATCAAGTCAGGTTCGGCTAGGTCAGGAGCACCCTGAGTTACAGAAACAGAGCGAGACCCAAGCTCTTGATTTTGCCAGCTCTTTGCCAGGGGAGAGGAATTTTGTTTGGGACAGGTGCTTGTTTCTGCAATTGCCTCTCTCAAAAACCTCTGTAAGCGAGTTTTTCTGGGCACGTTCTTGTTAGTGACTGCTCTCCTGAGGTGCATCTCTTCAGCTATGACATAGACACGGCAGCGCCCTCTGGTCACGGCGGTGTACACGTGCTGCCAGTGCTGGCGGCCAGGATTGCCAACCACGTAGACAACCGTTTTCTCCTCAGAACCCTGAAACGTGTTTTAGAACACCTTATCAAATTGAGATCTCGAGGAAGCAGTTTTTTAAAAAAAAAAAAAAAAAAAAAAAGATAAAAGTCAGCTTACAATAACAAGGAAATCTGAGACAACCAGGGGCACTAAGGAGTATTTTCTATCCTGCATTCCAGAAATTTTAGTTTCAGGAGAACTTCTTACTCTTTCATATGAAATGCATTACCAAGATAAAGCCACAAGAAAGTTTTATCAGCCCATAGCTTCTTTTTTTACCTGAAATGTGTGAATAGTTCTGGCCCAGGCATGTTTTATATGACATAGCTTCTTCAGTGCCTTATACTTGACGGTGAATGTGGAGCCGTACGTGCTGCTTATGGTCAATAAGCGCTGTTTATCAATTTCCACATCCTAAAGAAATGGCACAAGAACACTCAGCAGTAAGCTCGTATCAGCAGTTTGATCAATGTCTGTACATATGCATATGCTGTTAAAACAGCTGGAACATAAACCAAATGAAACAGTTTCAGAAGACACTAAACCCAAAAGATTGCTATCTTTCACTGACCACCTTCAAGGAAAATAGCTTCACTGTACAGGGCCTACCCCAACTCCATCTGTTTGGTAAGAAAAACATGAGAAAGGCAGTTTCAACCCCCTGAAAACTTCAGATTATTCTAGGGTACAGTGAAACACGCCAGTGAGGCCGTTTAACAATTTGTTGCCACAAATGGAGAAGAGCCTTCTCTCTCCCACCAATGCTGTATGGTTCCCTTTCCCATGCACACATCTTGATACTTTCACTGGACCCTTTGCCGAGTCAACTCAACTCACTGAACACAGCAGAAAAACACAGTATTTTTTGGTCAGCTTAGATTTTCTGCCAGGTGAGAGCTCAAGCTGTAACATTAAATTTATTCTTTACTATTACTAGTAATACTAAAGTATTACTTTACTTTATACTTTACTTACATAGAAGACTAATGTTTCTACCTATAGCCAAAGCATTACACATTTCAATTACGATACATTTGAGTATTTACAGAATTTCTTTACACTGGACACAAGCAGACCAACTGAAATACATTTTATAATTATTTTTTCTAATTCTCTATTGTGAGTCTGCCTCTGTCTTGCCTTTCACATGGCAGTTTAGCAGAAGAACCAAGTATCTATTACGAACTGAAATTTTAAAGTGCAAATTGTTTTCTTCTGGGATTCAACAAGGACTGGATCAGTTACCACTGGGGTTTTTTGTGCAAGTTCTTGCAGCAAGGACTTACGTCTGTTATGAAAAATATATCTCCGTTGCACAGTCGTTTGCCCTCCTCAGCAGTCTCAGCAGTGAGGGCGGTTTCTCCACTTTTGCGTTCGTGGTGATTAGGATCCTCTCCAAAGCCACGGTCTGGCAAGAGATCCTTGAGATACATATTCCGCATGCAGGAAATCTTGTCATCAATTCGAAATAAAAGTCGGTTTTTATTATCTCTACAGCAGAACAAGGGAGAAATGTATTTACAAACTATGCATTTATCATCTCTCAGTATGTCTTCTCTTTCCCCTCTCTATACTTGGGCCACATTAGAAACCTTAATAGTGTTCTAAACAATTAAGACAACTCACATTTACATTTTGTTAAAAAAAAAACAGTAATATGGAATAGCACCAAAATCCTGCTTCCAAAAATATTTCAGAATCTATTTAGAAATCATACACTGGCAAAAAATAATTAACCTTGAGGGTTTTATTCCAAGTGGCTTTTAAGTCTGTTTTAAATATTCAACAGTAGCTCAAGAACTTGGAACCCACATAATGGCAATTTATATGAAAGGCAAACACTTAGTTTGTGTTATCTCTGTTCACAGTCCAGGCTGAGATTAAAGAACCCAAAGAAAGATTATTATATAAATTATTTCTAACATAAATAATCAGATCTAGATGAAACACAAAGTTTTACAATCTTATTTTAGGTTGTTGGCCTGGCTGTAACGCTTTCGAAAATAAAGCAAGATTGTTCACAGCAAGAATTGCAAAACACTGACTTACCTGGTTACATGATTTGAGTAGTGTTGGCAACAGAGTTCATTTATGAGATTGCAATCTTGCCTAAATCACACAAAACAAGAACATGAAAAAAATCATTATGTACAAAGCATTACATGCAATGTCACATTAGCGTTAATTTATAAATACTGGAAAAAACCCATTTTAGCTGTCACGATCTTCCACCAACAATTAAAAGAATTGCAGATTCAGAGTTCAGAAAACAGAGCTGTAAAGGAACATTTTTTTTAATAAATAGCACAGAAAATGAGGCTGGGATGTTTGCAATGCATACCTGTTTTAGAGATAAAGAACACTAAAGAAAAAAATAAAGCCTGGATATACTGTTTTCTGTCTATGGATGTATTAAAAATAGTTAAAATATTTATTTGATTTTTAAAGACCTGAAATTTTAACTTTAAATGTAGATTAAGTACCTATAAATATATTACAGAAGAATTTTATAAGGAAATCATTAATAACAGTATTGCACCTGAATGCAGACTGGAGAAATAAAATTGATTTCAGAGTTACTCAACATTCACAACTAACAGGTGAACCAGCTCAAATTTATAAATCGCTTATTTGCACACCAGTAGCCTGTAAATAGTGGGTAGTTTTTAATTGCTGAGAAAACGTTCTTCACAAATAAAAGCAGAAGAGATTTTTCTTAAGTGCCCTTTTGGGCAGAAGCATAAGTTTATAACCACTGGTACTACTGGACATTACATTTATCCCTTCAGTGTTTCTGTGAGGCCACCCACACTATTCACGCTCCTACAAAAGTTCCCATGATCAATAAGTAACCTTTCCAATCTTTCTTCAAAGTGTGTTTGAGCCCTGCACCCCACTCCTTCTTAAGTGACGAGTATCATGCTTCCCAATGGCCAAACTGTAGGCACTTGCCACTGCCCATCAGATGCACTAATGCCCATCAGATTATGTGATGAAATCTGGCCCCCGTGACACAGTCAAAATGCAGGTATCTTCTGCAATTTGGTCCACATCCACCTGCGACAGAAGCACGTGTAGACAGTAGGTTATGTGTTCTGTCACACACACATCTGCCACAGTGGGATACGTTCGAATATGGACATTTCTTTCTGTTTTGTGGGCTCCTCCTGCAGTCAAGCCCTTGCCTTCTGCTCCTGCAGAACGCTGCACTTCTAGCAGATGCCAGAGCACAGGCTCTCTGAGAATCTACAAAAATGGACAACTTCTGTCCATCCTTTGTTGCTGTAGCATAAACTACAGATGAATGTGAACACAAACACAGAAATAATGGTGCAAATAAGCTTAATGGCTGATAGAAAAATTAAGCAGCTCTCCATGGAGAGACTGGGGGCAATCAGCAGGTACAGGAAAAGTCACCTGGCCTATTCTGCTCTCTAGGAATTTTATGATACTGCACTAATCTCTCCACCTCAACACATTCAGCTATTTTTAGATTGCAGCTGCTAGCAAGGATTTTTTTCAATGTCTGCCTGCATGCTCTGTTACCTTCTGAAAGCAATGAACTGTGACTGTTTGGCATCCTCCAATCCTGGTCCTTTTTTAAGTAAAGCCTTTATGGCAGTTTGCAAATCTGTTTTAGAAGACATAAAAGGTAAGGCATAAAAATATGCAAAACAAACAAGATAAGAAAGAAAATCACAATTCAATATGAGATTGCCTTTGCTTATTTCTTGTTTCAATGACATTTCAACTTGTTTAAAACAACAAAAAACCACACAAAACACAAAGACGCACACCCTAAAAAAACCCAACATTACAAAACACTCACTCACATATATAATCTCCCCCAAAAGTACCATGCCGTTATCCCACTATTAAGACCTGAGAGATAAGAGTGATATGGAAGGAGAGAAATTCTTGTTTTTCTGTGTCAAACAGCTGCATAGAACATATTTCATGCAAAATAAGGTTTTGATACAGCACATTAAAGAGGTAAAGGTAAAACATTTTTAAACCACAGATCTATACATTTAGATTGCACAGAAGAAATCCATTTTTATTTTTCTGTTTGCTGAGTAAGTTACTATAGTCTATAGTAAGATAGGGTGAAAATATTCACACTATTCTTTTTCCTCATCCCCCCTGAAGCTTTTTGGTACATATAAAGTAGACACTATACAATCCACTTATCCAATAAAGGTCAAAAAAAACCCAAACCCCAAAAAGACCCATACCCTGACCCCAAACTATTTTTAAAGACATACTGGTGTCCCCTCTGCTTTCATTTTTCTAACTTGATTCTAGTGTTGGGAACAAATTTCCATCCAACACAGCATCCTGTTACAGTAGCAGTTCACTCAAATGATTCATCTCCGAAAATTTCAATCTTTTATGGTTTGACAGGTCTAGCTACACCATAAAAAGATGGTCACGTCTGATTGCACTGGTACAAGCTGTATCCCCCGTTTCAAAATGTAACTGATGAGCTGGAGCTCTGCAGCGTATCCCTTGCGCTTATGGGCCTTGCCGTGTGCACTTACTGAAGGCAAAAGGTCAACTATGAATCTAGCATTTAAATTTATACCACAAACAAAACTAGACTAAACTCTTCCCAAAATGTTAGTTCCAGCCAAACAGTCTATGCTTTACCAAAGGGAAAGTCAAGATCACAAAGTGACTGCATGCACCTACTGTCACAACCGCCGCCAGCAGGCAAAGCAATGAGAATGAATTTCTTCTCTGGGCTTGGCATTGTCATTTCCTGATTCCAGCCAGAAACTTTCAGCACCTCATCAAATTCAGGAAACTTCCGGTTCGAGATTCTTGAGCAGAGCAGCAGAGGAAAAACAGAAAAGAAAAATTATTTCAGTTAAAGCATTCCAGTGTATCATCATCTGAATCAGCCTGAAGTTCACCATTTTTAAATGTTGGGTCATCTACACTGCATATACCAAAAATGTTTTCTTCTGAGCATAACTTAATTTCATATTAATTTTTTTTTAATTTATATATTTATTTTTTAATTTTTTATTTCTTTCTCCTCTAAACCCTTCAGCACAGCAGTAGATACCTAGTGTTACCCATATAGTTCCCATGGGAGCAGACTGGAGTAACACAGAAGTGTTATCAAAGAAAAGAGAGTGTTTGTAAAACACTTTATAGTTCTGGACATCTTGTAAATGTTCAGAATATTCTCAAATTCCAATCAACAACAAAGGGTCTTGGGCACTTGTAACTAGATTTTGTTGTTTGAGGTTTAAAAAAATAAATCATGCACTGACAGTAAACAGGACTATTTCCCAGCCAAAAGTAATGCAAATGCTGGAAATGTTTAGAGGTTCTAGGTATTAATACACAAAAAAAAGAAACGATGATGTAATGGCCCTTGACATCTAAACTGTCAGTGCAATTCAGCCTGTTGTACCTGTTGTCACACTTACCAGCAACGTCTTTAAAACTTCATTTTTAGAGAAGCAATTGAAAGTCACTTCAGAAGGCATAAAGTGATTTGCGTACGCACCACCCATTTGAAAACAGCAGAGGTTATTTGATAGTGAAATACGTCCCATAAAATTCAGAAGTATTCCAGCACACACATTATTTTGTCCAAAACACATGTTCCTGGAAAAACTTGTGGTTTTTTGTTGTGGTGGTTGTTTTGGGGTGCATTTAAAACCAGCGTTACTGATCTTCAACAAGAAACTGTAACAGTAGCGGTACTATAGAGTAAAATCTAGATGCACTGCTATGGTATTTTGCAGGTAAAGGACCAGGCCTACTACAAGAATGCTGCTTACATACATCAGGAATTCCTACCTTGATGCATTGTCTATGATTAGTTGCGATTCAGCTCTATGATTAGTTCGCAGTTCCACAGAAAAGCCTCTTGATTTTAGACCCTCAAAGATATCAGCCAACATGTTTCCTGGGTCTATGCTTGGCAGCTGTCGAGTATCACCTACACAGAATACACATTAGTATTTGTGAGAAGCAACAACACCCCATCTGTTAAAAACTGTCTTGGAAAAAAGCCAACACTGGAATTAATACTCAACCCTCTACATAGTAACATACTTTCTCAATACAATCTACATGAAATCATACTTTCAAGAATCTATGAAACTTTGTGGAATCAGGCTGTTGTGTAATTTTTTCATGTCCCTCACTCAGTAATGATTTACTAGCAAGTGCAAATGATGAACACTGACAGTGACCGTATCTTACTCAAACACATTTTGAAAGTCACATGTTTAAAAACAAGTGCAATAAACGGCATGCCAAAAAGTAAACCTGAGAAAGCAGAACATTTTTCTTGTACATTTCTTTGTACAAGATGACCCTAGCATTAAGAAGGAGATGAAACCTGCCTTCTAAAATTCAAGGAAATCAGGAACGTTTTCCAGTTGCTAGATGTAATAAGCGGATGTAAGAAGTCATAGTACTTTCAGAATCGTACAAAATACCGCTAAGCAGAGAATGGAGATACTGATTTTTTCATGTCCCTCACTCAGTAATGATTTACTAGCAAGTGCAAATGATGAACACTGACAGTGACCGTATCTTACTCAAACACATTTTGAAAGTCACATGTTTAAAAACAAGTGCAATAAACGGCATGCCAAAAAGTAAACCTGAGAAAGCAGAACATTTTTCTTGTACATTTCTTTGTTGTCCTTTCTGAATTAAAACAAGATGACCCTAGCATTAAGAAGGAGACGAAACCTGCCTTCTAAAATTCAAGGAAATCAGGAACGTTTTCCAGTTGCTAGATGTAATAAGCGGATGTAAGAAGTCATAGTACTTTCAGAATCGTACAAAATACCGCTAAGCAGAGAATGGAGATACTGATATTTTCATACTGACAGGTGAGATGGAAAAATGTCTCTCACATCTGACCTTACGAATAAGCAGAAATGCGCAAGTACAGAACAGTGTGACATCCTGGGGTTTTTAAGAAACTCTACAGTGACAAGTTTGCTGTTTCACTTACCTAGAATAATGAGTTTGGCAAGTTGAGCATGCTCACACAAGAGTCTTAAAACTAAACTAAGAATGAGTACAGACACCAAACTTCCTTCATCCACAATCAGAACCGTCACAGTAGAAAACTTCCATGGCAGTACTTGTTCACTCTGCCTCCATGATTTGAAACTATAGATGATCTAGAAACAAATCAAAAATAAATCAAGCTCTGACACTAATCAACTGTAAACAATCGTCTTATAAAGGTAGCCAGAGCATGGTATCTTCTAATGTCATATTTAGAGCTATGATCTGAAACTCTGAACTTAAATCTGCAATGACTCAGAAGACTCAACTGTTCACTCTTATTTACCTCCTTGGTGAATGTACTTGTAGCGAAAATTATCAACCCTTACTTACATAAATGTACAGAAATGCATCTTTTTTTTTTTTTTTTTTTTTTTTTTTTTTTTTTTTAGGGATCTTAAAGGATATAAGGTCAGCAATTAGGATGCTCAGTAACAGAGCACTTCCTCCTACAACTTGCTGACATTCATAAATCCCCAGCACTGCATGGGTAACAGGAACAGGAACAGGCAACTATCCAGGCCTCAAAGATAAAATAAGCCCACAGTACTACTGATATTACTATAATGTTTATTCACATAGGTTATTCCACACCTCCAACATCTTGACACCTTACATTACTTACGACAACAGAGTCCTGACCTACGTTTATTAACAAAGAATTTGCTTGCTACTTTTTTAATAAAAATATTTGCACAATATTTAACAGTAATTAAGAAAACACTGTGTGAATGAAATTTATCTCATTATTCAAAACCAGGCTACTGATCTCTTCATGTCTGTGCAGATATTAGTATGACTGCAATGCAACAGGACACTAGAAAACAGCTCTGCAATCTAGAAAGTAATTCTGTCTTGTTTAAAAAGACAAAAGAACTGAGAAGCTAAAAAGACCCAATGCCCTAGAAAGGCACAAACATGAGATGTGTACAAGTCGAAAAAAAAAGTTACAGCAAATAATACATTTCAAATTATTTGATTCCCCAAAATGTAACAATGACTTTCAAATGCTGACAAGCTGTCCCTAAGCATTATTATTAATAGCTTCACATTTCATAAGGAAAGTTCAACAAGTTTTTTGTGGGTTTTAGTCGGTTGGGTTTTGTTTGGTTTGGTTTTGCTCTTTTTTTTTTTTAAAAAAAAAAGTAGACGCAGCCAAAAGGTATTTCAGAACATAATTAAATAATAATAATTTCCTACCTGATGCAGTGTATATGCAGGAAGCTTAGTTTTTTCACTCAAAAGGCTTGCCGCCCTCCCTGTAGGTGCAGTAAACAGTACGTTCAGTTTTCTTTGTGTGTACGTATTCTCTGACTCCAGATGATGATCGAAGGTATTCCATTCTTCAGACGCATCCAGGTCATCTTCAAAGTCCTTAGAAGCAGCTTCCACTTCTTTTTCCATCTGCTTTAAGTGACAGAAAAGGCAGCTAACTATTGTACTCTTCCCACAGCCTCCTTTTCCACTTATGATTGTGACAGGATTAGAACAAATCTTCTCCATAGCAAGCACCTGATCTACATCTACCTCTGCTTTACCTTGGGTACCAGACATAGACCCTGCTTCCTTTTCAGGAAAGTGATCTGCACCATTATGACTGTCGGGACTATTTTCCTCCGGATGGTCCATTTCATGAGCCTGGGTAACACTCGTTTTGTTATCCACCATTTCTCTTGTCATCTCAGAAATGTTCAGTATCTTTCTCACATCAACATCCAGTTGCCACGAGGGGTTTGACAGAAGGTCACCTATACACGTTGCAATGTCTTTTTCAGATTTGTGAAGATGAGGCAGAAACACGAGTTTTTTCTCCCTGATCACTACATTCTGATCTTTCAAAAATTCCAGAGATTGCCAAGCGTGTTCAATGGACATATCTTTAGATACAAAATGAGCTAATTCATCTTGATCTTCGTAAGTGTGTCCCATTTCTCTACACTGTTTCTTGAGCTGATCATAGAGAATTAATGCATTCTTCTGCAACCTGGGAATCTTCCGCAGGAGGTGCTCACACTGACAGAAGGCGGCCCACGTTGCCTCGCAGTAAGAAAGGTTCAGTTCCCTATAGGTTATCTTCTCCCAAAAAGAATAAAAGTAAACATATATTCATTTCAGAAGACTGAATGCTGAGTAACATTCCTCCTAGTAAATACAAATTGCAATTCAGAGGGTGGAAGGCTACAAAAAATTATGTATTTTTCCATAATGTACAAAGCTATAATGCTTTTCAAGCTACGTGAAAGCAAGATATTTACAAGTAACATAGAATGATAATTCCTCTCAGTCACCCTCCTGTATAAAACAGAAATTTTAAAAATGAAAAACCTGGCACAGAAATTAGGTATCAGGGAGAACTTGTACAAACCTTATTAGCACAATTTCAAGTAAAGGCACAAACAACTGTAGCAACAGAGCATAGAGAAGGCATGAGCCAGAATACTGTACCCAATTCTGAACATTTTACTTCAAGAAATACACAACCTTTACAGAGACTACTGTGAAAGATTGAGATGTGCAAAAAAGATCAACCACTGAAGAAAAATTAATTGGAATTGCTGAGCCTTAAGAGAAAAAGCTAAAGAGAGTCTTCAAGCAATAAAAAAACCAGCAGTAAGAATGCAGGTCCTTGATACAAGAAACAAGAGAGCAACAGGTCTGTATTGCATCAAGGAATAGTCAAATTGGACATAAGCAAAAGCTTTTCAAAGGAAAGGATGTGAAACACTGGCTGGACTGCCAAACCTCTGAAACTGGAGGTCTTGTCAGTAAAAGCTCTGGGGGGCTGAAGTGCAGGGACTAACTACTCACACTGCTGAACTATTAAACTCCAATTCCTATCTGAGCTAGGAATGCTAAGGTGAGGTGCGGCAGCAAAGTTGCACAGCAAGCATAGCAAATGGAAACAAGGAGGTAAGTACAAAACATAAATCCCATTATAAAAAAGGAGAGTGACAAGAGCAGATGACCTATTACAGAATAACATATCTACCTTACTATGAAAGCAAAGATATTGTTCTATGTATTAAGAACAGAAAATCTTATTTGCCCATATAAAACTGAACATACAATTGAGGGTTTTAAAGTAATTTTCTTAGTATTGGCCCAACTGCCTCAAGTATTTAACTTTCTGTTCCTTGTAAAAAAGCAAAGCAAATGGTTGTAACAAAACCACCTTTAAAATCTTGAGAGACTGATTTATTTTAAACCAACTGAAAAAAACCCTTTTGCTAAAACTGAGTCTGGTAGATCATCTATTTCCAAATGAACTAATCTCACCTCGTACAAATGCCCAGTTATAAACTGAACGTAACTGAAACAGCACTGTATTCTAACGAAGCTCAAATGTAACACACATTTTTTACCCTGCTTAACATTACTTACCCTGCTGAATCCAAGTTTCCATGGCTCATTCTTTAATATCTCATCCAACTTTGTTAGCATCTTGTCTTGACAATGTACTTCCTCATCATCCATACCACTGCTTTCTTCAGTCTTTCTTTGCCAATGCACCATATTCAACAGAGAGCAAAAATGGCTTGGCAGAAGAGTTGGCAAAAATTCCAGTATCATCGGAAAAGTCAGAGCTACCAATACTGCCTTGCCTGCAACTGCATGCACCATAAACCAAGAAAGCTTTAAGCAATATACAAAGGTATTTCTAAAGGCAATTTCAACTGCCTCTGGCTCTTATCCTTCTGTCTCCCCTACATCCAAAAGGATACGGTTTAGAAGTGGGCATGGTAGCATTAGTTAACAGTTGGACTTGATGATCTTAAGCGTCTCTCCAACCGTAATAATTCTATGAAAACATCCCTAATTTCTTTCAGTTTCTTACTCTTTGTAATCCTTTTCAAATTCTTTTACAGTCTGCTTTCCCTGAACTGTCTTGGGAAAAGTAAACAGTAACATCAGTAAATGCCATCATGTAAACATCAGTAAACAGATGACAGATAAAAACTGCAACTAAATGTACTAATTTGGGAAATATGCATTATACATTTGTTTCAAACCACCTACTCAACAGCATTTTGTAGAACATCAGTTCAGGTGTCACCATGCCTGCCCCTCCTATCTAGAGAGATTTTTCATACAGATGCACAGAAGAACACTTAAAATCCCCAATAAGAAAACAGGCTTCTACATTTGTAGTATCAGATCACTATAGAAACTCAGGAAAACAGTGCTCTCCACTGGCTTTCTCAATGACCTCACACTTAAGCTGTAACTTTCCCTGTTTCTATCAGTGTTGGGATCTGAAAAAGGGGGATGATGAAACTGCTTTGCTCTATATCTTGCTTTAAAAAACAAATTGTAGAAGAAAGTGAGACTTCTAGAAGTTTGACCTCTTCACAGGAAAAAAAAAAGAAGCCATTTTTAATGGAGCGTTAGGGAAACTTTTTAATTCCAAATTCAAAACACCTATTTTTCTCAGTTAAATACTTTTACTGATTACTGTTTTACCCACAGAAAGGTAAAGACGGAGCCTTTTCCCTTTAAAGCAAATACTTAATTTACAAGTGGAGAATCAACACACACTACTTTCTAGACAAAAATATGAAGGCTTGAAGAAGAAACTGCTTGAGCTCAAAACAACTAATGACAACCAGAAAAAAGTGACAATAGTAACAACATGACATACAGGGGCTGGGATGTTGTTTCTATTGCTCAATGACAAAGAAGAAAGCTTAATTTGTATCAAAATAATTTAAGTTAGACAGTAGGAAAAATCTGCCAACTACAAAAACAGCGAACAGGATACCTAGGCACGCTGTGTAATCTTCAACATTGAAGATTCATGAACATATTACACAAGCTTCAATCAGAACTGATTCATATATCCCATTAAAACTCAAGAAGCAAACTAGATCAGAGTTTCCACTACTATTGATTCCCTTCCTCATGCAGTCAGGAAAACATTTAGTCTGTAAACAGGGGTTAAGAACTTTTCTACCATTACAGTAACACAACAAAAAGCCTGAAGTCCACAGAACTGTGAAAATGTTCCTTTCCTTACCCATGTGGAGTAAAGTCTAGCAGAAGCTATGAACTTTCCTGTCAGACGTGATTTGACCTCCAGAACAGTCATCCCCATCTTCCGTCCCACCACTGCCCATTAATCCAGGTACTGGAAGACTTTGCAGACAGACCCAACTTGTCTGTACAGATCTATGCATGGTTGTGGCTGCCCCCCTCCAATTCAGAGCACTGAGACCCAGGGCACCAACACCTGAGTGGTTTCGTACAGCACCAGCCCAGGACTGCCCACGTCCACATCAGGAATGCGGTACCGTGGACACAGATCATCGGGGTAAAACAAAAGGTAGTGCTGAAGACACATCTCATCAGATGCCTTGACTTTCTGTATTTCAGTGTTTCACTTCAGACCAGCTATAGTCTGGTCCCACAGACCGAGTGCCCATTAGGGGTTGGAGTACAGCTGGAACACACCTTTTGGGTTTCATCCAGCAGGAGTACAGTCAATGCTCTCAGAGACTGCACCACAGCAGGGACAAGAGGGATGTCTGCTTCAAAAGCACACTCCTGATCCAATCTCTAACACTCACGTAGCCACACCAACAAGAGTCCGCAACACGATCCTCAGCAGTCCTGAATCATCTCCATGTGGGGATGCTCCAGTATTTCTGCACTCTGCTCCCCACTCATCTGCTGATGGGCAGGATTCAAATACACCTAAATAGTCTATTTAGTGCAGCTGATTTGGACCGCACTGCGTTTATTTGCAGCTCCCCTGCACTAAAGCAGCAGCTATACTATTTCTGAATACGCATTTGTCCTAAAAAGCCATACCACCATGTTTAAGCAGCGCTGAACCCACTTTGTAATAGGCCTTGTTATATCTGATTAAACTACAGGAAGCCAGCACCAGTGCCTTTGCACCCCTAGTACAGACAATTCTACGTAGTAAGCCCAGAGAATTCAGTCCTTATCTGTTTCTAACTATATGCCTATTTTTAATTGGTCAGTTGTCCCACTGTCCTCAAATATACAGAAAAACCAGCAACTTTGCATGTTCAAAATTCATTTGAACATACACTTCATATGAAGACATGTTAGCTTGAACACAGTATCTGAGACAGAACTCATGAGCTTATCAAACCACCAAAATAGCACAGGCTATACCTACACGATCTCAAAACAGAGCAGAAGATGTCATAATCCTTGGCGCCTCCTTGTTTCTTCCCCCTCGGTAAGCATGAAACTTGGAATTGTTTTAGTTTTGCTTCAAGATCTCTAAAACTCAGCATAGACTCCATAGGAAGCCAACTAAAAAATGTTTTTAAAAATTCTTTAGGAACGCCACATTCCTTAAGAAAGAGTGAAAAGACTTGTCGGTTGTTTTCTTCTATATCAGTGCGCAGAAAATATGATGGATATCCTTGCACAAAGTACTTCGACCCCATTTTTTTCGCCTTAACATTAACTCTCCACCAAGGGTCAACCAATGGAAAACGTCCGACCACTTCATACTCCTTCTTGGAGTCCTCTTCTTGTATAAGAACTGAATCATTGGAAAGAAAAACAAAACCACTGTTAATCGATAGTCATAAAGATTAAAACTTTGGTTTGGTTAAAAGAGTTTTGTTTGTTCAAAGCTTATTTTTGTCTTTTGTGTAAGTTGCAATAGTAAAGTAAAGCAGGAGTTTTCATAAACTTCCTGATGTCAGTCTTTCCGGAAGTACTTAAAAACAAAAGCAAAACCAAGCACTAAAGCTGCTTCTCCAAGTGTAGAACTGCAAAATTAAACTTGTGTATGAATATTTATTAAGCCAATTAAACACACTGGCTTAATATGATTTAATGTTACACCATTTATACTGAGTCAAGTTTGCACCTCGTTTTTTTAATCGTTTTGCCACAAAGCATTGCAACGGGACACGGGCACCTGCTTCAGATACATGTGTATACCAAATACTTCCTGCAACTGAAACCACAAAAACTGTAAACAACTAATATAACAAACTCTTAACATTTTGTATGACCTGGTTTGCCTCCTCTTTCTACCCTC